CACCCTGGGGGTGGTGTCCCCAGTGTTTGGAGGTCATCGTGTTCCTGCCAGAGTTTGAGACCTCCCTGCAGTGTGGACATTGGTGGATGTTCCATAGGCAGTGTCATGTGCTGATATTAAGACCCTTTAGGTGCCCTACCCTCCAACCACTAGGCCATCTGATTTCTGCCACTCCCGCTCGCTGTGGCTTCTTCAAGGTGCCCAGGAGGGGATGCACATAGCCAGTCACCTGGTCCAGCTTTCCCTTTGGTTCTAGGACCACCCCTCTCCCAATCCCTTCCAGATGGATTCTCCCACAGCAGGGACGCCATAACTAAAGAGGAACTTCAGACCATCTCTGAGAAGATCTATAGGGCAGACACCAACAAAGCCCAGAAGGAAGACATCATTATCAATAGCCAAAACCGCATCTCCCCCTCAGAGGCGAGGAACCAAGTGGATTGCTGCCCGGAGCCGTGAGTGCCCCCCTGCCCTCCCCATGTCCTGCTCCCCCAAAGGCTCTCTCCCACCTTGTTTCAATGCCTCAGCACTTTCCTCCTCAAGTCAGGCAGTATCAAAGGGAGAGGGAAGATAGGTCTCCAAAGACGAAGAACACCATCTTGAGGATTTGAGGGCTGTGGGCATCCATTGGGAAGGGTTCTGCAACTGGTCAGGCTGAGGATAGAGTTGATCTGGAAGAAAAGTTAAGAGGATCTGAAGGCCCCACCTACCCCTGAACCCAGCCCTTGGGTACCTGCCCTTGAGCCATCCGGACATCTCTGGAGGGCTTCTGCTCCATGGTCAGGACTCTCAGTGCATCTCCCTCCACCTCCCCAGGCTCTTCACCTATGTCAACGAGAAGTTGTTCTCCAAGCCCACCTATGCAGCCTTCATCAACCTCCTCAACAACTACCAGCGGGCGACGGGCCATGGGGAGCACTTCAGTGCCCAGCAGCTGGCTGAGCAGGATACCTTCCTCAGAGAGATCATGAAGACAGCAGTCATGAAGGAGCTCTACAGTTTCCTTCATCACCAGAGTGAGTGTCCCCATGACAACACAGGTCGATCTGCAGGAGAGGCAGTCACTTCTGGGATCTCCACAGTGGGGAGGATGGGACAGCAGGAAGGACGCTGTGGGGACCATGTGGAGGCCAGTGCACATCTGGGAGAAATCAGGAATGAAGCCAGACAGAAGCCAAGGGGAGGTACAGACCCAGCTAGAGCTGGAGAACCCTCTGTCTGCCTGTCTTGGAAACCACACCATCTTTATTATTGTGTTTTTTTTAAGTTTACTGATACGTGAGAGACAGACACCATTCTCAACAGGATTGCCTCAACCTTCTCAGCCAGCTAGGAACATGGGCATGTGCTTACAGGTCAGCCAGAGAACTAAACCCACATTTCCTGTATGGATCCAGCAACAGTGCTCACTGCTGTCCCTCTGAGCAGACCCCGTTCCATCTGTGGCTTAATGTTAGCTATCTGTGAACCTGCCAGCCTCCGCTTCAGTCTCAGGGGACTCTGTGGGCTGTGAGCCTTGTAGACCACTCCCATCCCAGGGGAGTTCTCAGCCACCTCAGCTGACCCCAGAGTCAGTACCACATTGCAGACAGGTGGAGTCCTTGACTCAACTCCCTGCTCCTGCACTAAGGCCAGAAAGGGAGGTGGCCAACTCTACCTTCCTGCTGGGGAAACAGCAACAGAAAACCAGCACAGGTTTGGAGAGGAAAGTCCTACCTGGGAAGAGTTCTGATGGGAATGCCTCCAGATACAGACACATTCTGATCAGACCAAAAAAGGTTTTGGCCATAAGACTTCTTGGCACGGGGCTGTGTTTGTTAGAGTCCTCCAGATTCCTTTCCTGAACTCTGGACAGCCGGGCTTTGTCTTTGTCTGGCTCTGTCTAGGTCTTCCCTCTATGGTAGGGGGATCTTCTATGCTCAGAGTGGCTGCATTCATTCCATCTTCCAGCCTGGGTTAAGAGTTGGTATGGGGTTTTCAGGTAAAGCTAGCAATATTCAGTAATTCTACGAGGGGGACACAATCCTGCAGCGCCCCCTGCTGTTATCTTTGTAGTAAACACGTCAGAGAATCTTGGCGGTCTAGACTAAGCCCTTCTCTTTCTACATGGAGAAATGGAGATCCAGACAGTCTAGGCTTCTCTGAGGCCTCAAAGGAGCTGGAAGCAGAGCTAGGGCTGAAACCCAGGTTCCTGACGCCAAGGCCAGGCCATTCCATTACTCACTGTCTCTTCCCCTCTCTCCCTGTCCAAATCCCACTTATCCTTATGAGCTAGACTAATCTAGCTCACATCCCATCATATTTACAGAGGTGGCGCCCCTGCCCACGTACACTGGCTTTTAGCATTTTTTCAGAGGTAGAGTTTGGAGTGTGGTCCAAAATAGCCTTGGGTCTGAGAGAACTGGTTTTACTCCTGACCCTTCTGCACTATGGGCAAGTTGTTTTCCCTCTCTGAGTCTGCCTTCAAGGGGTCTTTGAGGATGGATGCTTGTAAAGCACTGGTAGAAAGCCTGGTGCACCCAGCGGGTGCTCAGTAAGGGCAGCTGTTCAGCTTTGTGAAACCGCCCTCTGTTATTTCATGTTTATTTAGTTTGTCTTCCAACTGTGTTTTAAGTCCTTGAAAGGAGATAATCTTTCTGGAATCTCTTTCGTATCCACAGTAGTTCTGTGTTGTAATTCTGGGTAGTAAACAGCTTTTGGTGGCTCCCTAATTTAATCGCCAGCCTGTCCTTTCCTGTAGGCCCTCACAGCCTTTCCAACATCCCTACTTGGCTGTCTAACTGGTGTCTGCCCAGAACTTGGCAGAGAGAGATCTCTTCCTTCAGACCTGCTCCTCCCTGGTCTTCTCCATCTCATAAATAACTTTCATACATTCATTGGCCCAGGCCCAAAGCCCAGGGGTTAGTGTCCCAACCTGAAGGACAGTCGAATAGGTTTCCTGAGGGAAGGAGTGAGAGACGGGACAAGTGGCGCAATGTTACAACACGGGGACAACACAGTGTTACAACTCTTCAGGGTCGTCCATTTATTGTGGGCCAGGGATCGTGGTTATATACATGTTGGTGGGCGGTGATTGGTTGTTAAAAGGTGGGTTATGATTGGTTGCTTTTGTGGACCAATCATGAGGTACTGGATATGCAAATCTGAGGGATTCTAGTGGCTAATCAGAGTATGGTTTTGAAGGTGAGGTTTTGAAGGGGAGCCAATTGTGGCCTTTGGCATTGTGTAATTGTTTGCTCTCTGAGCCTAAGATGGCAATAGTAAGAGACTCATGAAAATGGCCTTGGCAGACTCGCTGGTGCACAGCCTCCCACAGGTTAGATTTGATTTTTTTTTCTTTACCTCACTGTTCCTCACTCCCCTCTATCTCCTCTATCAGTAATGGCCATCGCTCCCATCTTTGAAATATATCCCCGTTCTATCTGCTTATCGCACCTCCTCTATACCACCACAGCCCAAGCTATCACCAAACTGATTCTTTGTCTTCCTACATATATACACACACACACACACACACACACACACACACATGCACGCGCGTGTGCGTGCGCGTGCACACAACCAGAGCGATCCCTTACAAAGCTTCTGTCACACAATTGCCCTCGTTAAAACCTTTCTGTGGCTCTCCACTACCAAGAAGCTATAGAGCAATTAAGAGATTGGCCTCTGGAGCCTCTCGAGTGCTATCTCTACTCTTATGAGCTGTGTGATCTTGCATGAGCTTTATCATTTTTGTCCGACTCCGTTTCCTCACTTCTACATTGGGGACAATTAGTAAAACATTACGTGATGATTTTGTGTGAAGATTTGGTGTTGTATCAAAAGCACTGAAACAGAAATCTAAAATATTTTTATTATTATAACTGAGATCTGACCTTCTTGCCATAGCCTGCAAGATCTGGCCCCTGCTTCTCTCTCAAACCTCCTCTCCAACCATCTTCCCCTCCTGCTCACTGTATTTCAGTCACATTGACCTTTTTTCAGTTCTTTGAACTTCAAATGCAGGTGTTCTGGAGCCTTTGAGCTTGCAGTTCCCTCTATAGAGAAGAATCTTTCCTTTAGATCTTCGCATGTTATTCCCTGTTGAATCCTTAGACTTTAGAAATGGTCCTGGTACAAAATAGGTGCCCCAGGAGTAACTGCTGAGTAAACTGTCAAACATGTTTGTTGATTGAAACCATGCCTCTCTTGACATGAGGGAGCAGGTTGCCCTTCCTTGCTTCCCAGGACCTGGCCCTGACTCTCCAGGCCATAGCCCTCTGTATTCCTTCCTGCAGACCGCTACAGCTCGGAACAAGAGTTCGTTGATGACTTGAAGAACATGTGGTTTGGGCTCTATTCAAGAGGCAATGAAGAGGGGGACTCAAGTGGCTTTGAGCACGTCTTCTCAGGTGGGATCACTGTGCTTGAAAAGAAAGAGTTGGAGAGATAAAGAGGACTGCCTTTGCTCAGCCCTGAGCAGCAACCAAGCCAGCTAGCAGGGACAGGCATTTGTGCTCCTAGGGCAGGAGAGGGGTCCAAGGACCCATTGTGAGAGTCTCCTCTGGAGTGTCTATGGGGGAAAGAGAACCAGATGCTGGGGCTCCCAAGGGGAGGGCAAGTGCTTGGGACAAGGTTGTCTGCCTCTTGATGGTGCTCTGCTTCCCAAGAGGGCCATGGTTTTCCCCCTCCCACCTTCCCCACCCTGTAAAGCTCCCAAGCCTGGCTTGCTCCTGGAGAAATGGCTGAGGGTGGTCATCAGAATCAGCTGGCAGGGAGAATTCTCCCAGGGCCTGAGTCAAAGCTGGCAGAGTGGAGGCTTCCTGAGGTGAGAGATAGGGGTGTGAAGGAATCTGGAGAGTCAGGCCAAAGGGCAGAGCAATTGGACATTCTTTAAGTCAGAGACTGGAGAAGGAAGACTGCCTTGGCATGGGATGGAGAAAGGGGACTGAAAGTGTGGGGTGGAAAAGGAAGCCCAATCACCCACCTTGGACTCTGTTATAGGTGAAGTCAAAAAAGGCAAGGTCACCGGCTTCCATAACTGGATCCGTTTCTACCTGCAGGAGAAGGAAGGCCTGGTTGACTATTATAGTCACATCTACGACGGGCCTGTGAGTACATAGGCGGGAAAACCTTGTTAGTAACCAGACTTCCTGTTCTCAATCTGCGTTCCAGTCAGACTCAGCTCTCACTTTGACTCTCCTTGGCTGTGTGTGTGTGTGTGTGTATGTGTGTATGTGTGTGTGTGTGTGTGTGTACTTTCTGAATATGACACTCTCATCTGCTGGAGAGTGGGGTTAACTGACCAGGATGATGAGACTCCCTTCCAACAGTAAAGGCTCTAGAACCACAGGGGGCAGGAGGCAGAGGCTCTAGAACCACATTTGGGTGGGAGGCTGGGACTTCGGAGGATTCTCAGAGGAGAGAACCAAAACCACACAATTACTCTCTGCCTTAATTTTCTTAGAATGTGCTTGGAAGGTTCAGCCTGGCTAGTATGAGTTAAACTCCATCCTTTTTTTTTTTTGGAGAGGTTTTTTTGCTATAGGGTGCATGCCTCACCAGACAGCGAGAGACAGAGAGACAGAAAGCGAGAAATTGTCCCCCAGGGTGGATGGCCATGTCACAATCCTTTCTCCTCCATTCTCCTCTCAGGATCTCGGGCATGCACACACAAGCGCCTGGTGTGAGTTTAAGCCACCAGGTCCAGGACTCGAATTACGGTCGACTATGTGGGAGTCCAGCGACATAGCCATTACACTAACTGCTGGTCCCTATACTATTTTTTTTTTAAATTATTTTTTGTTAACTTTGATTTATTATTATTATTATTTTAATATTTCCAGAGAGGAAAGAGAGAGAAAGTGAGGAAGCAAGCCTCCAGGCTTCGGGTCCCTCCAAGTCCAAGACTCAAACCTCCATGTAGGAGTCCAGAACTCTTAACCACCATGACACTTGCCAGCTGCCAAATCCATACATGTTAAAAGAAAGAAACTCTTGCTGCCCTATGCCACGAAATAATCTGGGGGCAATAAGTTGTCCTTCCACATGTGAGGGCCACGGAGAACAGCTATGTCCTGCTACCCTGGGTCAGGTCATGTGGACGCTGGATCTGGCCTCTCTGGTAGATGCACACTGGTAGCTCCAGACAGAGGGGCCAAGTGGGGATCAGATGCCTTAGCAGGGCAGGGAGTGCCCTCTGTCTGTTTAAAGAAAGCAGTCTTCCTGGAAAGTTCACACAGGCCCTTTATGGTTGCTATTGGACTCTCTTGTCTCACTCCTCCGTGGGGCATTCACCAGATGCCCTTTGCTGCCCTTCCCTCTGCAGTGGGATTCTTACCCTGATGTGTTAGCGATGCAGTTCAACTGGGATGGCTACTACAAGGAAGTGGGCTCTGCTTTCATCGGCAGCAGCCCTGAGTTCGAGTTTGCCCTCTACTCCCTGTGCTTCATTGCCAGACCAGGCAAAGCGTAAGTATTGAGCCAGCTAGGACGAGGAAGCAGCCTGGGGCCGCAGGCTGAACTCAGCCAGGGTAGAGCAGAAGACTGTCTTCTGTCATCACGTGGCTGAGAGGGCTCGGACAATCCCTAGTTTGGGCATCTGCTTTCTCACTTGGACAACGAGGTGGTTAGATTGATTCTGGGGTTGCCAAACTTAATCTCCACAGCAGAACCACCTCTCTTCTCTTCCCCAAATGAAATCTTACGCCGGATATTAATGCATACAGCAGTTAGAAATGGAGCTGCTCTCTGTTGAGCGCCTGAGGCTGTTTGGGAGAACCCTGGCCCCAGAGGAGAACCAAGGCCCTCAGGCCTTGCATTTTCTCTAACATTTGGAGACTTTGGGTCTTACTACTTCCAAAATCCTAAGCAAACATTTAATTTCTGAAGATTTCAGCTATAGGTATGAGATTTTAGGGATTTTAGACTATTGCTCTGGAAAAAATGAGGAGCAGTATTCTTTAAGAAGATAGAAAAGAAGACTTAGATTTTGGCTGGTCTCTTATTTGTGGGGAGCTGTGATCAGGAGCTTCAGAAAGCTCCAAAGCTCTGGCTCAGAAGCTGTTTAAACAGGATGGAGCCCTTCTGCTTGGGCTGGGCTTGATCCATCAAGCCTGGGGACAGAGGCAAGGTGAAGTGGCAGGCCTCTCTAAGTTTGTGATCTTTTCCCACAGGTGCCAGTTAAGCTTGGGAGGACATCCCTTGGCCATCCAGACCTACCCCTGGGACAAATCCACTTATGGAAATGGCAGGAAGTACATCGCCACAGCCTACGTGGTGTCTTCCACGCAATAGAGTATGGAGCTGGACAGGGGCATGAGGATAGTGAGGACTCTTGCAGGACTGAAGTGGTATCTGCTCTGGACTGAAGAGTGGACAGAGGAAACCTGGAGGGATTCCCAATCCCAACCTAGCCAAAGGATTCTTGAATCTAGAAATACTCATGTGGGAAAGAGAAAAGATTCAAATAAGAAAAATGCAGGAAAACAATCAAGTCTTTGTCCTCTAGAATTCTGTCGATTAGACTAAGAAGTAGTCCAGGCAGAGAAGGTGGGAACCCTCAGTAGCTCTTAGCCCTGATGCGTGGTGGAACCATGAGCAAGTCCTTTGGCCTCACTGGGCCTTATGCTTCCCTTTAATATAAAGGGAAGGCACCCGCCCTCTTACTGCTTCCTGGAGGTGGTGAGAGAGCAAACCTGATGATTTTCTTACTGTGAATGTGTTTTCAATTGTTCTTAGGAAGAACGACTGATAGAAATTGAAGATTACTATAATGGCTGTTGTTATACACAGCTCTGCCCACTGCAGCTCAACCCTGTGTTCGGGGCCTCAGAGAAATCAGACCTTAGAAATCAGGCAGTGGATATTCGATGTTTTCTACAGTTAGACCCTTTCAGAACAGTGTTTGGGAGAACTCTGAAGCTGGATGGAGAAGGGCAATAGAGTGCAGTGAGTGGGCTGGGGAGGAAGTAACCTTCTCCGGGCCCGAGTTTTTGCGGCCAGCTCAGTATCTGCATCAGGAAGCTTTCTTTCTGTGGCTGTTTACCGCCATCATAGACCTGTATTTTGATCCCAGATAGTTTTTGAATGAGTTCCCCTCTTAGGAGGAAGTTTTAGCATCAGGAGAAGAAAGAAATCTGTAGCTTGGTGTTATGAACATAATTATTTTAAGGTTTATCTGGCAGCTATAATTTGAATAAACTCTAAATTCGGGAGACTGAGTCTCCCTATCTCAACTGCAACTATGCATTTCTTCCCAACCCCATTGGGAACCAGACACTGCCCCACAGAGCCAGGCTGGAACTATGGTTTAGAGGATTTGAATCTTCATTAAAGTCATTTAAGAAAACTTAAAATGTGTTTCCTCTTTGTAAATGGCCCACCTTTACTGTCTTTTTCTGGAGCAGGACTGAGAATGATAAGCCTTCTTGGAATGGCTTGGAGAATGTGGTACTTGGGTGAAGTCCCTGGTGACTCACCAAATCTTTCAAGCCAAGAGGGAGAGAGAATTTTTTCCTGATGCACTTGCTACATGAAGTAGAAGGAGCACTGCATGCAGACTAGGGGGTTGGTAAAAGGAGGCTGGTGACCCTTGGTCCCATCACTAGTCCCTTTGATTACATACAGAAGGGCACAAGGATGCCTCTGGATATGGGTTCTATGGTTGCAAAGTTGGTCACCCTGAAGAGAAAAGGAGAGGCCAAAGAGACACAGAAAGAGACTTACTGCCCATACACAGATTATTTAGACAAATGCTCAATAAATGCCGGGCAGATGGATGAAACAGGACCCTGTCCTGCCCTCCCCCAAGGGAGCTCACAATCTAACCTGCAAGACAGGGAGTCAATTGGGCAAGTCTTTGGGGCAGACTCTGGTCAGCAGCCCACATACCTGACTGAACCCTGTTATTTTATGGCTGTATGGACCAAAGTCTCAATTACTCGCATCAATTTCCTGATTGGTAAAATGGGGATAATGTTACTATTGTAGGATAAAGCAAGTATAACATACTAGCCATCCTGACAATAAATCTTGTATGTCTCATTACACACATTTCATTTTGCACTAGGAGAGGCAATTCCCATTCCCTCCACCTACTGGTGCCCAGAACTTGTACTCCTTATAGACCTCTTGGGAGCTGTTCCAGGCAGTCAAGTGGTAGACAGAGGTGTAGGTGAGAGCTCGGAATCTGGACCTTAGTGTTGCAGGAGGGTAGGGTAGGAGTTAACATGTGTTAAGCTCTTTCTGTACTCAAAGCTGTGCTAGGAAGTCCTTTAACTTACTTTGGCAGGCATTTTTATCTCTACCATTTAAATTTTACCTAGACAATTGAGGCTCAGATAAAGCCACATTCTTAGTAAGCACCAATAACAAAATTCAGCCCCTTTCCTCATGCTGTAGTGAGCTTGATTTTCTACCAGTGTCCACTCATTTTTTTATTCATTGTTATTTTAAACAATACTTAGAAAAAAAGAGAATGTTTATGAAGGCCTGTGACAGACACTATTGGTTACCCCTCAGTAACTGCTCTCTTCTTTCCTATTAATGAACTTTAGATGAGCACATTAATGCCAGGAATAAAAACTCGCCACTTCCCTTGCAGCCAGGAGTGACCACGTGCCTAAGGTCTGGCCAGTGGCGTGTAAGAGGAAATATTCCTCAAGAGGAAGTTTTCTTCCCACTGCTGCCCCTTCCTGCCAACTAGATTTCAGACAAGATTGTTGGAGCCTGAGTAGCTGCCACATTGAAACATGAGTGAAAGCTGTGTGCTGAAGATGGTGGAGCAGCGAGGTAGAAGGAGTCTAGATTAGATACGACAATCTGCTCTCATGGTTAAGCCACTCTTATTTCAGACTTTTACTCACATTCAACCAAAGCTAATATAGTACCTTAATACTAGGAAGTACCCTGAAGTTCATAAATTTTCTTTCTAGAGTTGTTTAGCCAATACTCTTTCTTAAGATTCATTAATTATTGGACCAGCAGATGGCATAATGGTTATGTCACTGGACTCCCACGTAGTCCACCAAAGTTTGAGTCCCAGACCCGGCAGCTCAAAAAAAAAAAAAAATCATGCTGAATGTGTGTGCCTGCATTCCGAGAATAAACTGGAGAAGGGATTATGGCTGGCCATCTTCCCTGGGGGGTGATTTCTTGCTTTCCATCTGTCTCTCTGGTGAACACACATGCCCTACAGCAAAAATCTCTGAAAAAAAGGAAAAAAGATTATATTAACTGTCAGAATCTTTCCTCATTTAACCATTTGAGTGAGCTCACTTAATTCTGTGGCCATAAAATTAACAGCATTCATAGTTTTTAGTTATAGCATTTTACTGTTGCAATAATAAACATTCATGTTTACTTTAGTGACCATTAGCATTTATGTGACCTTGGCCATCAAGACAGTTGGATTAACTCCTGTCACACTGATTCTATACACACATATATACTTATGTGTCTATACAGCCATTGAGAAAGTCTTGACGTGTTATTCTATGGAAAAACACATCATGATTTACCCAACCTTATATACACACACATACATAAATATAAATATAAAATACTCCCTAAGTGATTCCAAAGTTCAATCAAGCTTGAGAACCACTGATCGGGATTACGGAGATAATGAAGTTCAGGGACCAGCAGTTGGCGTAATGGCTATGTGGCTGGACACCCGTATAGTTAATCCGGTTCCAGTCCTGGACCCGGTGGCTTAAACTCACACCGGGCGCATGTGCGTGCTTGCTCGCCCAAGATCCCCAGAGTGGAATGGAAAAGGGATTGCTGCGTGGCCATCCCCCCTGGGGGATCATTTCTCGCTTTCTGTCTCTTTCTGGCAAGCGCACGCACCCTATAGCAAAAATCTCTCCAAAAAAAAAAAGCACAAAAAACAAACTGAAGTTCAGCTCGTGCTTGTTTTTGTGGAATCCAAAAGTTACTATTATTTTATTTATTTATTTTTACCAGTTTTGAGTTCTCACATCAATAAAAGAAGACTCTTTCAGAGGAATCAGAAGCAAAAGTGTTAGAAGCTTCATATCCTCTCTTCTCTACAAGCTGCAGCACATCTAAAGACAGACCTTAATACTGACACATGTGAGATTCAAAAGATAGATTCACTCAGAAAAAGTTTACTTGCAAAATGTGCAAGAGGGTCAGACGACTTTGGAACTGGCATGCTTAACACATGCATTTAAAGGGAAAAAGAAATCTCGCAAAATCGCCATGGTTCCCAGTTGGCTTTCTTCTGTTCAAGGTAAACACCAACTTTCGCACGTGATTATCACACCCACAAAGGTCGTGGGATACCGTTAGACACGGTACGCAAATGTTAAGGATGAAACTGTTTGAGGAGAGTCCAAAGACATATTCAAGACTTTGACAACCCATGGTGGCGAAACCCAGCCACACTGAAAGCCGGCAAGATGCTCGGGTTTTACTTCCGCTCACCGCCCACCCACCGGAAGAGGCGGGCTCAGAAACCTGCCTTCTGCGCACGCTCGCGCGCGTCTCCGGGGGCGGGGTGAGGTGCGCGCGGACTTCTGGGAAAGCCCAGGAAGGCGGGGCAGGCGTGAATCCCTGCAGGGCTGATTTGGCTGCGGCGCGGGCGGTAACGGCCTGGTCAGGTGAGTAAGCATTGCTGTTTTGAACGGCTGCAGCAGCTGAGGAGGCCTGTGGGGTTGCCTAGCCTGAGGAGGGACGTGGTCCAGGGTCCGGGCGAGGCGGAGCGGGCGGCAGGGGCGTGGCGTGGGGACGGAGTGGCGGTGTCCTGGGCAGCAGCGTCCTGGGGAGCGCGTTCCTGGGAAGGGTTTATCCGGCACGACAGGGCCTGAATGTTCTGCATTGCTGGCAGACCCTCCAGCCCCACTGCTCCCGGCATTGGGCGATTTGCGGGGATCGGGACGGCAGAGCCATCCTTCCAGGAGATCGCTGTGGGGCCCACCCCTCTTCGGCGTGGGTGTGTAGTGTTTGAGGAAAGTGATACCCCAAGCGCCAGCCGTTGCTGGGTGCCTGCCCAGTCCCATCGCGGGTTTCCTGGGGGCAGTTGGGCACGGGAGCAGCAGAGGAAATGAGTGGAAAATCCCCCCCCCAAAGCGTGTCGGTGGAGTGCTGCACCTTTAGTAATGTTTTTGAGTCCCCACCAAAGCCTTTTCCTAGTTTTGTTCTTGAATGACGTGTATACGTGTGTTCTCAGACAGGGACATTACCGTGAAGTAGCTTAAACTTAGTTCACTTTTTGAAGTTAGGGGGTCAAAAGACCTAGCTGCATTTGCTATAATCTCTCCTTCCTTCCTTACCCAGTGGGATAGTTTAACCGTCCTAAACAGATCTTTTTGTAATCTCCCTCTCACCTTTATTTCCACCTCCTCGTCCCCCCTTTTTAAAAAATAATTATTTTAACTTTATTTATTTTAATTTGAAAAGAGAGGGACAGAGTGAAAGAGAGAGAGAACATGAGAAAGCAAGCCGCCAGGTCCCGGACTGAAACCTTGGTCGGTCATGTGGGAGCCTATGGGGCCCACCCCTCTTCGGCGTGGGTGTGTAGTGTTTGAGGAAAGTGATACCCCAAGCGCCAGCCGTTGCTGGGTGCCTGCCCAGTCCCATCGCGGGTTTCCTGGGGGCAGTTGGGCACGGGAGCAGCAGAGGAAATGAGTGGAAAATCCCCCCCCCAAAGCGTGTCGGTGGAGTGCTGCACCTTTAGTAATGTTTTTGAGTCCCCACCAAAGCCTTTTCCTAGTTTTGTTCTTGAATGACGTGTATACGTGTGTTCTCAGACAGGGACATTACCGTGAAGTAGCTTAAACTTAGTTCACTTTTTGAAGTTAGGGGGTCAAAAGACCTAGCTGCATTTGCTATAATCTCTCCTTCCTTCCTTACCCAGTGGGATAGTTTAACCGTCCTAAACAGATCTTTTTGTAATCTCCCTCTCACCTTTATTTCCACCTCCTCGTCCCCCCTTTTTAAAAAATAATTATTTTAACTTTATTTATTTTAATTTGAAAAGAGAGGGACAGAGTGAAAGAGAGAGAGAACATGAGAAAGCAAGCCGCCAGGTCCCGGACTGAAACCTTGGTCGGTCATGTGGGAGCCTAGCGCCTTTAACCACCAAGCCACCTGCTGGCCCCATCTCCCCGTCCCTCTTAATCTTTGAGTCTTCTCCCACCTTTTTGATGTTGCTCCATCCCTCAACCTCTGTCCTATATCGCTTTTCTCTTGGTCCTCCCCCGCCAGACCATACTCAAGAGCAGCTCTTAGGTTAAATATAAAATGTAATCTAATTAGCATGTCATTTCACTTACTTGGCTTGTTTCCTTTACATTTTTTCATACTGTTCCAACTCAATCGTTATTTTTCTATGACTGAATATAACGTGCTTTCTTTTCCTCTGGCGTTTGGCCCTGCTAATTTCTCCCACTTTCTTGAGCTCCCTTTGGTCTTCTGTAACAGTGCTCACTTACATTTCCTCTCAGTGCTCTAGCTGAGGTTCTCCTGTGACATCTCTTCCTCCACTTTCTAAATGCCAGTGTTCTCCAGGCTCCTCCACCTCCCAATAGTCACAGTGGGTAAACACGTTTAGAGCTATGATTCTCACTTCTCCTTTTATGCTGGTGACAACCAAATTTACCTTTAATCCAATATAACTACCTATTATCTCCTCCTGACATCCCAGCAGCACTCATTCAACATATCCTAAACTGAAATAATTCTTTCCATTTGCCCTCCAACGTGAACCTCTTTTCCTTCTTAAATTGTATTTCCTGATTCAAAGTGACATCACTCATCTCATCAGGCTCCTAAGCCAAAACTCTAAGATAACCTAAGTCTTGCTCTGCTCCCTAGCTCCTAGATCTAAACCAGTCATCATGTTCTTTTTACTTTATTACCTCAATACCTTCACAGAGTTTTCAAAATATAATTCAGACTTTATGGCCTGGCATTTCAAGATCGGTCCCTTCTTTAACCTTCTCTTCCTACGTTCTCCCACTCTGCATGCCTGTTCTTCCCTGTTAGACACTTGATTGGCACCTTGTGAAACCCAGCTAAGCTTTCTTTTCTTTTCTTTAGTTTGCCAGAGGATGCATGTGCTTGCCAGAGTGGGGGAGAGAGAAAGAAAGAGAGGGAGGAGAGAGAAAGGAAGAGGAAGAGGGAGAAGCATCCCTCCTCATGGGATGTGGTCATGTCTCAATCCTCCGTTTTTTTCATCCTGTCAGGATTTTGGGCACATGCCCATGTATGCCTGGTGTGTTTTTTTTCAAACTACTAGTTCAAAGACTTGTACTGTGTGGTCAGCTATGTCGGACCTGGCTCCTTTAACCACCAGGCTACAGAGCTGGCTCATTGTTTCTGGAACTTGTTCTTAGACTCCCATCTTCCTACCATATGATTTATGCCTGTCCTTTATGGTCAGTTCCTCCGCACTTTCTTTTCTTTCTTTCTTTTTTTTTTTTTTTTGAGAGGTTTTTTGCTACAGGGCATGGGCTTGCCAGAAAGACAGAGAGAGACAGAGAGACATAAAGTGAGAAATCACCCCCCAGGGGGATGACCACGCCACAATCCCTTCTCCTCCAGTCTCCTCTCGGGATCTTAGGCATGCACGCACACATGCCTGGCGTGAGTTTAAGCCACTGGGTTCAGGACTTGAACCTTGGTCGACTACATGGGAGTCCAGCGACATAGCCATTATGCCAACTGCTGGTCCCTATGGTCAGTTCCTTAGAATCCATGCATACCTCTAGCACAGGGTTCTCAACCAGGGGTTATTTTGCTTCTTAAGGCACACTTCACAGTGTCTGGAAACACGTGGTTATCCCAGTCTTAGGGGAAGAAGTAATTCTGGCATCTAACACTGATGGAGAACAGAAACATTGCCAACCATTCTTTTATTTATTTATTGTTTTTAAAGGTTTTTGCCATAGGATGCATGTGCTTGTCAGAGAGAGACACAGAGAAGGGCAGTGAGGGAAAGTGAGAAACCACCCTCCCAGGGGATGGTGGGGGCCACACCACAATCTCTTCTCCGTCATTCTCCTCTTGGGATTTTGGGCATGCATGCACATGTGCTCGGTGTGAATTTCAAGCCACCAGGTCTGGAACTTGAACTGCATTCAGCCATGTGGGAGTCCAACACTTTTTAAATACATCACCACCTGCTGGCCCTGCCAACCATTCTGTGATGCATGTGACAGCACCCTCACAACAAAGAATTGTCCAGCCCAAGATGTCAGCAGTGTGAAGGTTGTGAAATTCTGCTTAACATACTATTGGGTTGTTGGAAAAGTCATGACGCGTTTGTGTATAAAAATAAACACATCATGACTTTCCCGACAATCTAAATTTTGTTACTCAATGCAATTACTTCTTTTTTTCCTCTCTGCTAAATAAGGGACATTGTGTTACTTGATACAGGATCTATCACATACCAGAAGTTCAATAAATACTGGAAGAAAATATAGTAAAGGAGATCATTGGGATATTCTTATAAACCAGAGATGAGCAACCATGGGCCACCTGCTGATTTCAGTGATTTCCTCCTTATCTCCTTTCTCCTTTCATTCATGTTGCATTTCAAGGATGGCTGAAATTGTTTTTCATTTGTTTACTCAGAAATGACTAATTCTTAAAGTATTAATATTTCCTTTATTCAGCAACACTTTAAGCTTTCTTCTGTCCCTGTATCTTGGTCACTTAAGAAGCAGTGAAACATTAATTAGTTAGGTTTCTGGAAAATAAATCTGAAAAACTTATTTAATACTTATTAGAGGTTGGTTGTTCAAAACCTTGCAGACCATCATGACTTCAACAAATAAAGCTGTTGAGTTACAACTACAAGTGAAGCAAAATGCCGAAGAATTACAAGATTTTATGAGGGATTTAGAAAACTGGGAAAAAGACATTAAAGAAAAGGATATGGAACTAAGAAGACAGAATGGTGTTCCTGAAGAGGTAAATAAAGATTCCTAGTTTAGCATCTCTCAAGACTATTCATTTTAAAATAAAGCACAATCTTTTAAAATGTTTTAAGAAAGTATTGAAATTTGGGACCAGCAGTTGGCGTAGTGGCTATGTCGTTGTACTCCCATGTAGTCAACCATAGTTCGAGTCCTGGACCTGGTGGCTTAAACTCACGCCAGGCGTTTGTGTGTGCACGTGCCCAAGATCCTGAGAGGAGAATGGAGGAGGAGGGATTGCAGCGTGGCCATCCCCCTTGGGGAGGGGGGTGATTTCTCATGCTCTCTTGTCTTTCTGGTGCGCGCATGCACCCTATAACAAAAACCTCTCCCCAAAAAAGAGAAAGTATTGAAATTGATCTATCAACATTTTATAAATCTACTTTTTTTTTTGGAGAGGTTTTTGCTATAGGGCACGTGCACTCCCCCAGAAAGTCAGAGAGAGAAAGAGAGAAAGCAAGAAATCACTCGTCAGGGGGGATATCGCAATTCCTTCTAGTCCAGTCTCCTCTCAGGATCTTGGGCACGTATGCACACGCACTCAGTGGGAGTTTAAGCCACTGGGTCTGAGACTCGAACCGCAGTTGGCTACATGGGAGTCCAGTGACAAAGCCATTACACCAACTGCTGGTCCCTACAAATCTACTTTTAAAAAGTCTTTGCAGTGTTTAGTTGTATTTACTATAGCTTAAGATATATTAAAGACTAGTGAATAGTTGTCAGAAGGATGTCCTTGTAATAATACTGGGTTGTCAGAAAAGTCATGATGCAGTTTTGTATAGAAAAACATGAAAAAAATACATCATGACTTTTCTGGTGACCCAATCCATAAAGGTAAATGAATAACATCATGAAATATATAGGTGTGTGTGTGTCTGTGTGTGTGTGTGTGGTGTATTTGTATTATACATGAATAATATATATGGTTATATATTTAATGATAGAGTAGCATAACAATATTGGCATAAAAATCTGGATTGTAGCTAGAGTCAACCAAATGTTCTAAAGACAGTACATTTAAATATTGTTTAGGTTTTTCATAATGATGTGGAAGCAGTTTAGTTTGCCTTTGTACTACTGCTAATTCATAAGGTAAAGATCAGGTATTTTTTTTCCAGAGGTTTTTGCTATAGGGCGTATATGCTTGCCAGAAAGACAGAGAGAGACAGAAAGACAGAGAGCAAGAAAATCTCCTCCAAGGGGGGATGGCCACGCCGCAATCCCTTCTCCATTTTCCTCTCGGGATCTTGGGCACGCATGCACACGTGCCCGGCGTGAGTTTTAAGCCACCGGGTCCGGGACATGAACCACGGTCGACTACATGGGAGTCCAGCGACATAGCCATTATGCTAACTGCTGGTCCCAAGATCAGGTAGTTTTTGTTTTTGTTTTTATTTTCGTTTTGGAGAGATTTTTGCTATAGGGCACATGCGCTCGCCAGACAGACAGAGAGAGACAGAGAGACAGAAAGCAGGAAATCACCCCCCGGGGGGATGGTCACGCTGCAATTCCTTCTCCATTCTCCTCTCGGGATCTTGGGCACGCACGCACACGTGCCTGGCGTGAGTTTAAGCCACCGGGTCCGGGACTCGAACCACGGTCAACTACGTGGGAGTCCAGTGACATAGTCATTATGCTAACTGCTGGTCCCATGATCAGGTCATTTTTGAAGTTTGAATTTAGGGTCCCTAATTAAAGATAGAATTTCTAGGTAATTTTTTTTTTTTTTAACTGAACAATTTTCAGCATTTATCAAAGGATGAATTAAGCTTTTCAAGTATAGTTGCCATTATAAGTGAAGATAGTAATTAGTATTTTTAACCACTTGAGAATTAAGTTGAAAGATTATTTCTTATTTGAAAATGTAATTTAGTGAGAATTTAAAATATCACTAGTTAATCAAAGCAGTAATAGAGCAGAGTGTTCAAAACTTTGTTTGCTTATTTTCTAGAATTTACCCCCTATTAGGAATGGGAATTTTAGGAAAAAGAAGAAAGGCAGAGCTAAGGAATCTTCTAAAAAAACCAAAGAGGAAAACACAAAAAACAGAATAAAATCTTATGATTATGATGCATGGGCAAAACTTGATGTGGTAAGTTAATCTAATTGTATGCTTCTTGATGTTTAAATAAAAGTTTATTGGAGTTAACCTAATAGTCATAGATTAAATGAAAAATGCAGTGGTTCATATGCCTATGTCTTCTCTTTAAGCTTTTAAAAAAATTTGACAGAAGGTGCATGTTGCTCACTGGAGAGACGGGGGTTGGGGAGTTGGGGGGGCAAGAAAGCACTCCCTATGGAGAATGGTCATGCTGCAATTTCTTCTCTACTTCTCCATCCTGTTGTGATTTTGGGCACTTGCCTGATGTGTTTATGAAGCCGTTAGTCTGGGACTCAAACTGTGCAATCAGCCATGTGAGATCCAGCCACCTTAAACGCCAGGCCACGGCCAGCCCTATCTTTATATTAGTATTTCATGTGGAATGAAAGTTTAATTACATAACGTTATTCTTATTTTTTTAAAGGTTTTTGCCATAGGATATGTATGCTCACTAGAAAGAAATAGAGACAGTGAGAAATCACCCCTGCTGTGGGGGAATGACCATGCCACAATCCCTTCTCCACTGGGATTTAGGGCATGCACGCACACACATCTGGCGTGATTTTTAAGTTGGCAGGTCTAGGGCTCGAACTGTGGTCAACTGTGTGGGAGTCTAGCACCTTAGCCACTATGCCACCTGCTGGCCCCTAATCAGGTAGCTTTTTAACCAAATAATTTTTTTTCAATACTGTTGAAGCTACCAGTGTTCCTCTTCCCTATATCATTTTCTTTTCTCCTCTCTACTTCCAGAGCTAGCCACTATTCTAATTTTTATGTGTATTATTTTCCTTGTATTTTTCTGTTTAACATTTTTACTGAGGTATAACATATGTGAAGTCCAAAAAACCTTAAGTATACAGCTTTCCAAATTATTACTAATGTACTATACCTCTGAAGCCACCATTCAGATACAGTTACAGAACATTTCCTTGCCTCCCTTTCTTTGACCAGAGGTTATAAGCTCTTGCCAGAGAGATGGAAAGACAGGAAAAAAGTACTCCTCAATGGATTGTGGTCATGCGGCAATCCTTTCTTATTTTCTCCATCCTGTCAGGATTTGGGGCACACGTACACATGTGCCCAGCCTGTTTTCCAAGTCACAGGGTTTGGGATTCAAACTGCAATCAGCTACTTTGAAGGTTTAGTTCTCTGAAGTGAAAAACATGAGTAATTATACCTACTCTCTAGGTAGTTGTGAGGATCAGAAGTAACTTGTGCTCTATAAGCTGTTTTTGTTGTTCTAAAATAAGGAAGGAAAAACATTTGGAAACATTTCTTTGTTGGTAGTTGTTAATTATATCAGCTAAGGATTATTTGCAAATCTTCTCTTACATTGAGTTGTAATACTTCACTGTTGATGGTTTAGGGTGATTTGTAGACTAAATTACTTTGTCAGTTCAAGTCAGATTCTTTAGATGGTTTGGATCTTGGTTTTCTAACCAAGGGCACCTTTTCCTCTGGATATAATCTTTTTTTTTTTAAAGAATTATTTAATTTTATTTATTCATTTATTTATTTTAATTTGACCAGAGAGAGACACAGAGAGAGAGAGAAAGTGATAAAACAAACCACCAAGTCCAGGACTTGAACCATGATTGGCCATGTGGGAGTGCCAGCACTTTAACCACCATGCCACCTGCTCATCCCCCGCTCTGGATATAATCTTAACAATGAGGGATGAGAAGTTATTTGAATTGCTTTCATAGGCCTTTAGGTCCTTAGGTTATAACAGCTTAAGCTCAGTTGGGTATATATTTTGGGAGACTGCATCTTTTTTTTTGTAATGGTCCTATAATTATGAACACTTTTTTCCTCTTTATGATTTCAGGACAGTATCCTTGATGAGCTTGACAAAGAAGATAGTACACATGATTCTGTGTCTCCAGAATCAGAGTCAGAAGAAGATGGGATTCACGTAGATTCTCAGAAGGCTCTTGCTCTAAAAGAAAAGGTACTCTTTAGGGTAGCCTTAGGTTTATTCAGGTAGTCAGGATGTGTGAAAATCACGTGGACCCTAAAACTTGTCTACAGTGTTTAGGGGGTGTTCCAACTTTAAGTTATTGGCCCTATCTCTGGTCAGGAGGCAGTTAAGTTTACTTAATTTAAGCATAGTTCTGGAATCAAATTACTTGGTTCACATCTTTGACAAGTTCTTTAAACTACCTGTTTCTCAGTGTTTGCAGCTGTAAGATGTTATTTATAATATTACTAAGTCTCAGTGGGTTGTTATATAAAATGAATTATGTAAGGTGTTTGGGCTGTACCTGAGTTATTCCAGGGTTTTAAGAGTAGACTGAAATAATTTGAAATCAGCATGTGACTCTTGGCATGAATATTATGTTCTGTCACTTTTGGTTGCCTTTTTATGTTCAATATCTCTCGCAGAAGATTATTATAAGACCAGCTATACTGCTTTTTTAAAAAGGCAAAACTTTTTTCTGATTAAACTTCATCTTTATACCTTTAATTTGCAAACATTTCTGTGGATTAGTGGTGTCAATAAAAAGTATAATGCTAGGTGTTTTACTTATTTTTCCATCAGGAATTTTGGGTTGTACCCATACAATGATTATATGATGAATTCTAGCACTTGTAAATAGACCATTTTCCTTTATTTTCCTTTTTTTCAGGGCAATAAATACTTCAAACAAGGCAAGTATGATGAAGCTATTGAGTGCTACACAAAAGGCATGGATGCTGACCCATATAATCCTGTGTTGCCAACAAACAGAGCGTCAGCCTACTTTAGATTGAAAAAGTAAGTAATTTCCATAATGGATATACATTTTAGGTGTTTACAGAGGCTGATTTTTTGAAAAATCTTTCCTAGTAAAGTATGTAAGACAAATTGAAATGTATTAGATTTCTTTTCAATTGTAAATTCTTTTTCTGAGAGAGTATTTTTGCTATAGGATATGTGCACTCGCTGGAGAGACAAAGATAGAAAAAAGGCGAGAAATCACCCCCTGGGGAAATGGCCATGCTGCAATCCCTTCTCCTCCACTCTCCTCGGGACCTTGGGCATGCATGCACATTATACCCGGCGTGAGTTTTAAGCCGCTGGGTCCAGGACTCCAACCACTGTTGACTATGTGGGAATCAGGTGACAAAACCATTATACCATTTGCTGGTCTCATCAGTTGTAAATTCTTTATAATTTTTTAAAAAGAATTATTTTATTTAACTTTATTTATTTATTTAATTTGACCAGAGAGGGTCAGAGCAAGCGAGTGAGAGAGAGACGGAAAGTGAAGAAAGCAAGCTGCAAGGTCCGGGATTCGAATCGTGGATGGCCATGTGAGAATCCTGCGCCCTTAACTACCATACCACCTTCTGGCCTCCAATTGTAAATTTTTAAAACTTACTACTTTTGGGAACTAGCAGTTAGCGTAATGGCTATGTCGCTGAACTCCCACGTAGTTGACCACGGTTCGCATCCCGGACCCAGTGGCTTAAAACTCAAGCTGGGCGCGTGTGCGTGCGTGCCCAAGATCCCAAGAGGAGAATGGAGGAGAAGGGATTGTGGTGTGACCATCCCCCCTGGGGGGTGATTTCTCACTTTCTGTCTCTATGTCTCTCTCTGTCTGTCTGGCAAGCGCACGTGCCCTATAGCGAAAACCTCTCCAAAAAAAAAAAAAAAACTTACTCCCTTTTATTGGATTATGTTATTTAAAGCCATTTTAAGCATTTGGTGGTCCATAGCTCACTATAATGTTCCTTCTTTAAAAATTGTTAATGAGGTTCTGTACCTAGTTCACACACTCAAAAAAGTTGTTTAGAAATTAGGTTTTTTTTTCATTATTTGGAAAAACCACTCACTATTTAATCTAGAGAACTTTCATGATGGTAAATATTTTCTAACATTTGTTTATCTTTAGGTCATAATTATTCTTTAAGTACAAATTTAATGCTGAGGAACATAAAGCTGTTAGCATATTAAATGCAGGTAACTGACCTATCATAAGAATGTTTAAGAAGATGAATACTGGATCAACCAGTGGCCATAGTGGTTAAGGTGGTTGGATCACAGGCCTACTACATGGTTCGAGTCCAGGATCCAGTGGCTTGAAAAATATGCTGGGCATGTGTGTGTGCATGCCCTAAATCCCAGGAGAACGGAGGAGAAGGGATTGCTGTGTGGCCATCCACTCTGTGGGGTGATTTCTCACTTTCCTTCTCTCTCTGTTTCTCTTCTGTGAGCATGTGCCCTATAACAAACTAAAAGAAGACAAATACCATCAAGAAAGATATTCTTACTGTTTTAATTTGGAAATACAAATTATATTGATGTCTGAGTTTTTTACTATTTAAGTAGCATATTTGTTATGTCTTTGAAACTTTTGATAAATATCCTCACAAATAAGGGGATTATTTTACATTTTATAATATTTGATATATTCAATACATATATATGTAAGTTATAAAAATTTTAAGTAAACCTACTTAAAACTCACCCCTCTATTTAGAACTGCTTTTATTTTTGAAACTATCTCAATGGTCTTTTCACATCTTAGGTCTCCTTCCCAATTAATGATTTTCTAATTGTATAGTCATCATTCTTTTGATTAAAAATAGGTTTATTTTATTCTAAATAATGTAGAACTTAGTTTATTTTTGAACTTTAAAAGTGTATCATACTGTATATAGACTTTTGTGGCTCACTTCTCTGAATATTATATTTCTGTGATTCATTTTTGTCTGCATATAGCTGTAGATCTTTAATTTTCACTGTTAAATGTCATTCCCCCCACCCTCTTTTTTTTAAGAGTGAGATTTTCTGAAGGACAAAAATCTTGTACACTTGCTGGAGAGACAAGAGAGAGAGAGAAAGACAGAGAGCAATAAATCACCCCCCGGGGGATGGCCACACTGCAATCCCTTTTCCTCCATTCTCCTCTCAGGATTTTGGGCATGCATGCACATGTGCCTGGTGTGAATTTTAAGCTGCTGGGTCCGGGACTCAAACTGCAGTTGACTGTATGGAAGCCCAGCTATGTAACCAATATGCCATTTGTTGTTCCTTTCTACTGAGTTCTTTATTCTGGATTTTAATCCTTTGGTGTTAATTTATAATAACTTCTTCCAATTTGTGGCTTATCTTTTCTTTATTTCTTCTGAGAATGAGAAAAAGAGAGAGCTACAGAGACAGACACAGACATAGCATTTCTAACAGCATCCCAATGCTGTGATGCACCAGTCTTCGACTGGATCATGGGCAGGTGTGTGCTGAGCGTGCTCAGGGAAGTTACTGGATTGAACTGGAAATCTTCTCATGTGAGATTGCTTTGCAGAACATCATGTTTAATTGCTGTGCTACCCTCTGGCCCCTAAAGATTAATACTTAAAAAAAAATATTCATTAAATAGTTTTCTTATTGAGATCATAATAGTCTTCTACATTTTATTCTAAGAACTTTCAGATTTTTCTTTTCACACTTGCTGAAAATAGGATTCCACCAGTTTTATATTTTTCCATCTTGAATGCCTCAATTGTTGCAGCCCTGTTTATGGAATCACCATGCTTTCCCCAGGGATCTGCAGTGCCACCATTATCGTATGTCAAGTTGCATGGGGCATTTTCTCATTTCTCTGTTCTTTAGTCTTTGTCTGTCTCTGCACCCCTTCCACACCATCTTTAATGATTATAGCATTACAATTATAAGCTTTATATTTAGCGTAGGGTATATTTTTCCATCTTATTCTTCAGGAGTATCCTGAACCTTTGCTCATCATTGTAAATTTTAGAATCGTTTTCTCAGATTCCTGGGAACATCCTGTTGGGATTTTGATTATAAGAGCATTGATTTCATAGATAAACCTGGAGAGAATTATACTATGTTATTGTTCCTTGTTGCAGATGAACTTGAAATATATTCTGATATTTCCTGATAGACTGAAGTCATCTTTAATGTCTTCGAAGATAGTCTTACAGTTGTCTACATCTGTGTCTTACATGTTTTTGTTAGTATTTTTTTGTGTTTTGTAGTTGATCTTTGGTAAAGCTGCCATCTTGCTAAACTTTCATTATTTCTAGCAATGTCTTTAGATTGCTTTGAGTTTTTTATATAGACCATCATATTTGAGAATGTCTTTGAGTTTTTTATATAGACCATCATATTTGGGTATATTATCAGTTTAGTTTCTTTGTTTTTAGTCTTTTTACTTTGTATTTCTTTCCTGTGGAACTACATTGGTGAGGACATCTAGGACAGTACTGAGAAAAAGCACTGCTATTGGGAATTTTGTTTTTTGCATTAAAAGGATTTTTGTGTTTTACCATTAAGAATTACTGCTTTTAGTGGAGTTTAGACGGAGGTGCAGAGGTAAAGCACAGTGCTCTGTGAGGCTGGCCCCCACGGGAAAATTCTCAGTTCAAGTCTGAGGACCTCCCTGGGTACATCTGGCACATGCATGCCCGTGATCTGGGACTGGCTGAAGCTTGGGGGTGGATTGTGACATCAGGACACGATTGAATGTGCTGTCTCTGTCTCTCTCTTATTCTCTTTCTTGTTCAATGAAGAAATAAATAAATGTTTTAAAAACAGAATTACTGCATTTAGTACTCTTAACTAAATAAAAAGGAGATGTCAATCTTTTTTTCAGGGTTTAGAGAAACAAATTTTGATCTTTGGTTTTATCTTTATTAATTTCATTTATTTTAATTTTTTTAAATTGCAGATTTGCTGTTGCTGAGTCTGATTGTAATTTAGCAATTGCTTTGAATAGGAGTTATACAAAAGCTTATGCCCGACGAGGTGCTGCTCGATTTGCTTTGCAAAAATTACAGGATGCCAAGAAAGGTATTGATATTTTCCGAGTCATCATAATCAAAGAATTCTTTTAACAGTTTAACAGGTGATACTAAAAAAATGAAGTAATCATAGTTACTACTATCAAAGAACTTTCTGTATTTGAACAAAACTCAGTTTTGATACATTAAAATGTATCTTGATGTCTTCGAAAAGAATGTGTTATTTGCCATACATATGCTTCGGTTCAGATTCTTATTTCGCCATGTGCTAGCTTGAGGCCAGTACTTCCTCTGACTTTTAATCATTTGTCTATAAAATACAGATTAAAACATCTCATTGTCAGAGGTAGTAAGTGTGAAACTCTTATATATATTTTTAAAATTTATAAATCCTAAGCCTTCTATTTTTCCATAAAATAGTTTGTGTTGTGTAAATCACAAAATTTGAATAAAGCTGATAAGAAATACGATTTTGCTGCTTCTTGGTTTTATAGTGTACTTACATAGCAAGTATCCTTCTGGGGCTGGCAGAGAGGACGGTTTGTCACAGGAGTTTGTGAGGATTTTGTCTGCCCTGGGAGAGAATGAAGAAAGCATAGTAGCCTAATGGTGGCATTTTAAAGTTCCTTTTTCATTTAGCTTTAGGACAGTTGCCCATTTGTCATATGTGGTTAATATTTTGTATAAGTTTTAAATATCATTTTTCCTTAAAATTTTTTTACTTTCTATTTATTTAGATTATGAAAAAGTATTAGAACTAGAACCTAATAACTTTGAAGCAACAAATGAACTCAGGAAAATTAATCAGGTAAACTATAGTTGTTTGAATTGGATGTATTAGGTTTGACCCTTATTTGACTAAGAAAATTTTTTACGTAGACTTTGTACTGTGTGTAGATTTCTTAATGGAGAGATTTAAAAATTTTAATTCTTTGAACAAAACTTAACTAAATGAGCTTGCAAGCGTGAGATAGTGTAATGATATTTAAAGATCTGTAATTGATCGTCATTTTAAATAGTTGGCTGAGATCTTTAAAAACTGCTTGGGGCTGGCAGGTGGCGTGGTGTCTAAGGGCACTGGAATCCCACATGCTTGGCTTTGGTTCTAATCCTGGGCCTGGTGGCTTGCTTTCTCACTTTTGATTGCTCTCTCTCTCTCTCTCTCTCTCTCTCTTTTTTCCTCTCTTGTCAAATTAAAATAAGTAAGTAAATAAAGTTAAATAAAATAAATCTTTAAAAGAAAAATAAAAAAAGCTGCTGCTTTCACTTCTTCCCAGAGAAAAGAATTATTTTTACTTTATCTTACTGACTTTTCTTTTTTAGCTTATGCATTAATTTCTGTACTGACCTCTTGCATATCTCTTTGATTTTTTTCAAGTGGCTTCATCTTTATCTTAACAAAAACAATGCTAACTTTTTAACAGCAAGAAAATAACTACTTCAGTTACTTATCTAATGCTGCTCCTTTTACTTTTTCTTGAATTTGAAGTTGTGTTTGTTTTGCCTTTGTTGAAATATTGAGAAGAAAATGATAGTGTTTGGGAAAACTACACTTTTAAACATTCCCATGCTTGAGTACTTAAAATCTATTGGTAAACATATCAACTTGATTATAATTGTGAACTGTGTTATCATGAACATCTTTGTATTTAACTTAAGCCACATAAAGAGTATGAATATTATTACATTTGCATATTTGGTGATGTGGTCTTAACTGTTTTGTGTTTGAAAGTCACTCCTAGAATGATGCCCGACCTATATAGAAATCCAGTAAACATTTATTGCTTATTTTAATTGGAATAAGAAGCATGTTAAACTCATTTTGTACTTTATTTTTTTGTATTTTACTTTAATAGGTAAAAAGACTTTGACTTAGAGTAGAAAGTGTTATTTCAGTTATTTAAAATATTACAGAAATTCTAAGGTATTTGAGTATATTTTAAAGTTAAGTATGTATGCATCTTGCATTACTTGTTTTAATTAATTGCTGTGTCTTTTAGGCTATAACATCCCAAGAAAACTCATATGCACAGGAAGCTGACATAGTGATTAAGGCAACTGAAGGAGAGAAAAAACAAACCGAAGAACTACAGAATAAGCAGCAGGCCATTACAGAGAAAGATCTGGTAATATTAAGAGATTCCTGCATATAATGTATACGTTTTGCTGAGTTTTTGTTTACTCTTGGTTTCTTTTTTTTCTTAGAGAATTTTGCTATAGGGCACATGTGCTTGCCAGAGAGAGAGAGAGTGAGATAGGGAGGCAGAAAGTGAGGAATCATTCCCCAGGGGTTGACCATGCCACAGTCCCTTTACTTCCATTCTCTTCTCAGTATTTTGAGCATGCATACACATATGCTTGGCCTGAGTTTTGAGCCGCCAGGTCAAATCGTGGTCGACCATGTGGGAATCCAGCAATACAACTCTTATACCATCTGCTGGTCCTTGCTCTTGGTTTCTTGTGTATCATTTAATTTTCTGTTTTCTCTAATATGTTAAAATTCTTTTTGAGTAGGAATTGGAATGTAAATAACACTAAAAACTCCAGTACCTATTAATTCTAAATTTGAGTAATTGATGATATAATACATAAATTTCTAAAAAACATACCATAGAAGAATTTAATTTTATGGAACAAATTACCTCTGAGCTTTTGAATTCAGTTTATTTTTTGGCACAGTTTTTGATTCTGCTCCATACTTGTCTCCAAAATGATAGGGTAATGCGTTTTTCAAAGAGGGGAAGTATGAAAGAGCAATTGAATGCTATACTCGAGGCATAGCAGCAGATGGCGCAAATGCCCTTCTTCCAGCTAACAGAGCCATGGCCTATCTGAAGATTCAGAAGTAAGTACTGGTTACGTTTTAAAGCCTTTCAGGATGAAAATTTACCATAAATAGGTGTATTGGCTGATAATTAAAATTTAATTGATTTATTCTTAACTTAGAGAATGTGTGTGTACGAACATGTATGTATGGGCTAGTACCAGGTCCGCAGAATATTTTCAGTAAATGTTAGTTCTTACTAATATTTTACTATTTTTAGTAGGCTGACGTTACACAGTTTAACACCTTCTTTTCTGGTTATTTTATGTATATCATTCTGGATCATTGACTTAAAAAAATTATTTTTAGCCTCACAACCTACTGGGCATCTCAGGTGAAAGTGTTTTATACACATACACCCTTTTGGCTGCATAGTGAACTTTTTTCAGAATATTTTTAAATGAGTAATTAGACAACTAGGATTATAGAAGAAAGCAATTATGTTAAAATAGTTTTAAAAATATTAAAATTTGTAATATAGTAGTATGTGTGCTTTTTTTAACAATGCTGCAAAATGAGAAATTACATTGAAAATTTAGGCAAGTTAATTTTTTTTTTTTTTTAATTTTTAGAGGTTTTAGCCTTAGGGTGCATGTGGCTCACTGGAGGGAGAGACAGAGATAGTGAGAGGGAAAGTGAGAATTCACCCCTCGGGGGGATGGCCACGCTGGCCTACATTCGCCACTTTATTCGTGCAGAGATAGTGAGAGGGAAAGTGAGAATTCACCCCTCGGGGGGATGGCCACGCTGCAATCCATTCTCCATTTTCTTCCTGGGATCTTGGGTACACACACACACACACACACACACACACACACACACACCCAGTGTGAGTTTCAAGCCACCAGAGCTGGGACTTGAACCCAGGTTGACCACATGTGAGTCGAGTGACATAACTGCTACGCCATCTGCTGGCCACAAGGCAAATTAAACTTTTTTTTTAAGAGGTTTTTGCTATAGGGTATGTGCGCTCGCCAGAAAGACAGACAGAGAGACAGAAAGCAAGAAATCACCCCTGCCTTGAGGGAGGCTGGCTACGCCACAATCCCTTCTCCTCCATTCTCCTCTTGGGATCTTGGACATGCACACACATGCGCCTGGGGTGAGTTTAAGCCACCGGGTATGGAACTCGAACTGCAGTTGGCTACATGGGAGTCCAGCGACATAGCCATTATGTCAACTGTTGGTCCCAGCAAATTAAACTTTTAAAAATATGTATCATGTGAAGGTTTGAATAAGATGCTAGACTTTTGGGTAATCTTTGATACACATCTTCCACATATTGTTCAACAAACAAATATAAATAGGTAATAATCAAAAGCAACATAGATGATTGAATTACCAGTATAACATGACTTCACTCTTTGGCATCTGCTTGACTGTTAGGGGCAGACTTGCCCAGTAGTTGGCCACTTATATCACAGATGAGTCTGAAGACAGAATACTTCAATCACATTCAAATAAGCAGTAGGTTAAATTACTACAGTAATTCTAAAATAGTGGTGACCATAAACAATATTTTGAGGTTCCTTTAAAATTGTAGCGTGGTATGAAAATATCTGTGACAAAGGTAATAGAGACTGCTTGTACTATTATGATTTGTTGTGTACATTTGCAATCAAAAGAAAGTTAAACTTAATTTAAAGGTTAGTGAAAATAGGATATAATTGTTTCCCATCTAAGTTTTCAGATCCCCCAAAGGATCTCAGGTTGGGAACCCCTGTCTCAGATTTAAACTTTGGTTGTATATTTAACCTCATTTAAACTAAGAGACACAGTTAGAGATATATTCTTTTACTGATTAGTCGGAGTAAAAATCATTGCATCTTTTGGTAGCTTATGAAAATTTTGAGTTTTGCTTTTCAGAAGTTGTGCATTGGTTTAGAAATCACAAGGCCTGAATATTTGGTTTGATAAATACCAGGAAAAATACCTTCGTATAGCTGAGAGATTATATTTACACTTATGAAAGCTCTGTTGTATTAATTTCTTTGCTTTAGTTGATAGTTATGTTAGTATATTACAGCAAGTTAGCAGAATATATTTTATTTTTTTAATTAAAAATTTTTTTTAAAGAATCATTTTATTCAACTTTATTTTTAATTTGACCAGAGAAGAACAGAGAGAGGGAAAGTGAGAAAGGAAGCCACCAGGTCCATGACTCGAACCATGGTCCGCCATGTGGGAGTCCAGCACCCTTAATCACCATGCTACCTACCAGCCCCAGCAGAGTATATTTTAAATTAAAATAACTATGACTCTTACTTGTATTTTTTCCTAGAGTGTGTCTTTTAGATTTATACTTTACATTAGATGTTTTTTCCACTGTATGGAGTTTATTGTAATATATTACAGACTTTCTGAAGAATCTAAAAAGGAGCAACTTTTCAGATTTAAATAAGTAACAGTCTTATAGCTTGAGCCTGTAGCTTCCCACTGGTAGTAGGAAGGTAAGAACCAAAAAGTACAGTCAATCTTATGAGCCAGTGTGTGGGTTGAGAGAAGAGTGAGAAGAAATTCATCTAGTGAGACCAACCAAAGTGTCTAGAGAACATGGTTTCTAGAGGTGGTCGTCTACATTAGTAGTTGACAACAGTGAGTTACACTAATCCAGTGTCTGGGCTGGCAAATGTGGAGTGTAGGTTGTTAGGTGATTAGATTTAGAGGATCTGAAGAGATAATCGGAAATGGTGTAGAAGTTTGGGGCAAGACTTGTTTTTGCAGAGAATTGATCCAAGAACAAATCTTGTTTAGTAAAGCATAGATTTACAGATAGGATGAGAAGAAAAGTAACCTATAGTATTAGATGTTAGATCTGGGAAACAGGGTTGACGGTTGAGGATTGGTTATAGAAAACAAGGTAGAATCTTGGTTGCTAGAACTGGAACTGCACTAACTTAGAGTTTACTGCTGACTAGGGATAGGGTTGACCCTAGAGCTTGAAGTAAAGGTTGGGCTAAAGGATGTAACTGCAGGTTAAAAGGAGGTCCAGTCTCTAAGCTGGGCTTATACTGTTTTCTGTATTAGTCATCTTTGTTATTTCTGTGTTCAATTAGTTTGTTTTTCTCTCACCACCTAAAAGGTGTTTATTTTTCCTTTTTTTTTTTTTTTCTTCTTTAGGTTTTTGCTATAGGGTGCATGTGCTGAAGAGAGATAGTGAGAAGGAAAGTGAGAAATAACCCCTCAGGTGGGATGGCCACACCACAATCTGTTCTCTGGTTTCCTCCTGGGATATTTTGGGCATGCATGCACATGTGCCTGGTGTGATTTTTCAAGCCGCCAGGTCTGAATCTTGAACCATGGTTAGCCATATGGGAGTCCAGTGCTTTAACCACCATGGCACCTTCTGGACTCAAAAAGTGTTTATTGATTGGATTTTTCTAAATCCAGTTTGCCCTTGAAGTATACAAGGGACATTTAACAACTTTAAAGGACTTATCTGAATCCATTGTAAAGAATAATTATCTTCTGCTTGTATAGAAATTTCAGATTTTCAGAATAATTCTTGGATTTTCTTTAACTGTACAACAGGGCATACTTTTTAAATATGTAATTAAACATTTATCTTCTAAATTTTCTTTGAATTGGGATGTTTGGAAGTTCTGATTTAGTTATTCAGGAAACATTTATTAAGCTAAAATATGTCAGGTTTTCTGGCAGACACCACAGTGTACAGATAATAAATATACAGTCATTTTTAGGAACTTGAGGTTTGGAGGGCAAGACAGAAACGAGACTAGTAATTGTAAGGGTGCAGTGTGATAACGCTGTTAGAGATGCTGTGGGAGCAGGGGTGGTACGAGTATCAACATAGACTGGGGCCAGGTAGAGAAGTCGTGGGAAACATCTTGAAGGAATTCAAACCAAACAGATCTGTAGGAATAATATGAGTTAGTGATGGTAAGAAACAGGTTGAGTGTCCTAGGGCAGGTTCAGGACACGGGCATGGGAAAGTGTATGGTAAGTAAGGGGAAAAAAAAATAGTATTTCCCCCTTGGAAAAGCAAGGGGTCTGTGTTATGGCTGTATGTTGGGAATAGGGGCAGAGAACTGGGCAAGCCTGACTTTGTGTTCTGTAAAGGGGTTTGACTTGGTCCTGAGAAGTGTGGTGGCTCTGCAGGTATCTTAAATGGGAGAATGATATAATCAGGCAGGTAGAAAATACGATGGTAGGGATTTGGACACACACAGATATATCCTTTCTCTCTTGCTGAAAATTGAATTAAAGAAGCCAGGGATACATAGATTCACTAGAAATTTTGGTTTTGTTCCTATGAGGTCTTGTTTTAAAGGTAGGATGGCACTCATTTAGACCTTGGGAAGAATGTAATGACAAATTTATTTTTAAATTATGTTATATCCTTATAAAATTTTTCAGACTTTCATGAAAGTAGTATAAAAAGCCATGGACCCATCATCTGCCCTTTTTCTTGGTCATATTTGTTTGGTTTTTCTCTGACTTATTGTAAAGCAAATCCTACACATTGTGACACTTCATCCTTAAGGAAAAGGATATTTTCGTTTGTGTAACCACAGTGTCAATACATAACCACAGTAGTATTATCACTCCTACTAAAACAACAGTTCATTAGTGTCATTTGATGTATGAGAGAGTATCAGGGTTTTTTTTGTGTTGTTTTCATTTAAGCTCTTCTTAGCTCTTTGTTATCATAGAGCAGTACCCGGTCAGTTTGACTTGATTGCTGGTTACGTGGTTGAGCCGAATTTATGCCGAATATTAGGTGATATGCTGTCACATACGTAATGAGTCCTAAATTTGTGTGGGTTTTTCTTAGATGACAGATACTATAGGTAAGTGTTACAAAGTTTTATCAGGAAATGAGTGACAGTTATAATGGTAACCTAATGCCTGTGCACACTGAGGGTTGGAGAGGGGGTGGGCTGCCAGTAGTAGCATTCTTCAACCTGGTCTGCTCATATGTGTTTACCATCATTAACCCCATCCTGCATCCTTTCAGCAGACTCCGATTTTCCCCTTATCTGGTACCTTTTTGCTCCTTACCGGATGATTTCAAGATTTGGTGGAGAATGACACACTTAAAAAACCTCTTCTCCTCGAATATAGATTGGAGGGGGGTGATCATGGAAATGAGAAACTTAGTTTATGTGAAGCTTTTCTATAAGCTGCCTTTTTCCCAGCTGATAATTTTACCATGTTCAATAGATATGAAGAAGCTGAAAATGACTGCACTCAAGCTATTTTATTAGATGGCTCATATTCTAAAGCTTTTGCCAGAAGAGGAACTGCAAGAACATTTCTGGGAAAGCTAAATGAGGCCAAACAAGGTAAGATTTCATAACAGCTGACACTCCCTTATCCTGATGAGAGTCTTGAGTTATAGAAGCTGAGACTCATCCAGTTTTCATATGGTCCAAGGATGGTGAACTTAGAGAAATACATTTTTGTTCATAGTTTAGGTCATAAAAACATTTGAAGAAGTGCAGCTTCCATTGTACACTCTAATTGCTGGTGTAATTAATGAAAAATTGAAACTGCAGATAAGAAAGAAAACAGATGGCAAAAATAGAAAGGAACTCAGTAGCTAGGGCGTAGAAGGTAATATGAGATCTGTAGTACCTCATTTTATTATTTTTTTAATTTTTTAAGAGATTTTTTTTTTTTTTTGCTATGGGGCACATGTGCTCATCGGAGAGGCAAAAGAAAGATAGGGTGAAATCGCCCCCCACGGGGGTATGGCCACACTACATTCTCTTCATTCTCCTCTTGGAATTTTGGTTATGCATGCACACGTGCCTGGTGTGAGTTTCAAGCTACCGGGTCCAAGACTCAAACCACGGTTGACCATGTGACAATTCAGCAATGTAACCATTATGCCATCTGTGGGGTCCCTATTTTTTATTTTTTTTCATGAGAGAGAGACAGACAGGTACCTCCAGCAGGGTTTTGACCCCCTGAACTACCCCATTTCAGACTACTTGGGTCATGGGCAAATGCACCCAGTGAGCTCAGCAAAGTCCTAGGTTTGTCTGGCTCTCTCTTTTTATTTTGATACTATTTTTTTTCTCTAATTTTTTAATTGTCTTTCAGATCATCATTTTTAGTCTTTTCATAGAACTGACTTGGTGTTTTGTTGCATCTATTTCTGCTCTTAATTTTATTCTTTTAGCCATTTTTGTGTGTTTGATTTGCTGTTTTTCTAATTTCTTCAGGCTGATACTTAGATAATTGATGTATAGCATTTCTTCTTTTCTGATATATGCATTTAAATCTGGCAGTTCCTCTTTAAGCCTGGTTTTAAATGCAGCCTGTTGATGGGATTTTTTTCCTTCTTAGGCCTATGGATGGGATGTTTTTAATATTTTTTTGAGACAAACTATGCATAACATTAAATAAACCATTTACTTTTTTTTTTTTTTTTTTATAGATTTTTGCCATAGGATGTGTACACTTGCCAAAGAGACACAGAGAGGAAATATGAGAAATCACCCTCTAGTGGGGGAATGGCCATACTGCAATCCCTTTTCCATTCTCCTCTCAGTATTTTGGGCACACATACACACATGCCCTCTTCAAGAAGTCAGCGGGTCTGGGACTCAAACCATGGTCAGCCATGTCGGATCCATCACCTAAACCACCATGCCACCTATTGACCCCAGTTTTAGTTAAGTGACATTAACGTTGCATAACCGTCACCACTGTCCATTTCCATAGCTTGTTGTCATCTCATTCTAAAACTCTGTACCCATTAAATAATAACTGTCCTTTCTTCTCTTCCCTCCAGCTCACAGTAACCATCATTCTACTTTCTGCCTCTATAAATTTAGTATTCTAGATACCCCATATAAAGGATCATACAGTACAAAGGATCTTCAAAAACTTTATGGAATATACATATTATGAGAAAAGTATTTACAGATTTCAAAATTTTTTTACACTAAAATAAACTCGTGTTTTAAATTTAACTTTCCTAAGAACTTTCTGAAGTCCTCTTATATTTGCCCTTCTGCGTCTGTTTTACTTAGCTTAGTATTGCGTCTTCAAGGTTCATTTGTGTTACAGCATGGATCAGAATTTGCTCCTTTTTTTGATTTTTAAGAGAGATTTTTGCTGTAAGGCATGTGCACTTGGAGGAGAGAAAGAGACAGAGAGAAAGAAAGCATGAAATCACCTGCCATGGGGGATGACCATGCTGCATTCCCTTCTCCTCCATTCTCCCCTTTGGTTTTTGGGCAAACACACACATGCGCCTAGTGTGAGTTTTAAGCCACTGGGTCCAAGACGCTAACCTCATTTGACTACATGGGAGTCTAGTGACCATTATGCCATCTGCTGGTCCCTCTCCTTTTTGATTTTAATTGCCAGAGGGCACATGCTGCACTTGACAGAGAAAAAGAGAGGAACAAAACACTCCCCCCCACCACCCCCACACTGGGATATGGTCATGCCACAATCTCCTCCTTCACTTCTCCATCCTGTTGGGACCCTGGCTACATGTGCACATGTGCCTGGGGCTGGGATTGGAACTGCGATTGGCCATGTGGGATCCAGCTCCCTTGACCACCAGACCATGAATCAGCCCAGAATTTCACTCCTTTTTAAGCTGGCCCCATGGCCTGGTGGTTAAGGAAGCTGAATTAAACATGGCAGACCATGCTGTTTGAACCCCAGCCTCAGCACCTTGAAAAACACACTGGGCATATATGTGTCCATGCCTAAAATCCTGACGGGATGGAGAAGTGGAGAAGGTAGGATTATGGTGTGACCATGCCCCATTGGGAGGTACTTTTTTCCCTCTCCTCTGTCTCTCTCTGGTGAGTACTGGCAAATTAAAAAAAAAAGAATTAAGCCTGAATAATACTGCATTATGTGAAATTATTCTAAGATAATTAGACTCTGTCTTACATTTGGTAAATTACTCTGTCATTTCTTAATGTGTGGGCTTTGGTAATGTGTGCCTCACTGGTATGTCACATGGATGTTCTTATAAAACAACTAGAATAGCAACCATGCAATGTTTGTTCTTACTATTGCTCACCTGTTTCCTAGTATCCTGAGTAAAACTTATTAAGATTAAGATTGGATTACTAACTAAATGTTTCATGCTTGAACTCCACAAAGTATTTTCACTACTTTATTATAATTGTTAAAAATTCACTTTAGATTTCGAAACTGTTTTACTACTGGAACCTGGAAATAAGCAAGCAGTAACTGAACTTTCTAAAATTAAAAAGGTAATGTATTCTTTTCACCGAAGTATGGTCATATTTTCTGAAACAAACACATTTGTTGTATAATGAACTTGAGAATATTTTGATAGTTATGATTATAAATTTATTTCCAAGGAATTAATTGAGAAAGGACACTGGGATGACGTCTTTCTTGATTCCACCCAAAGACAAAATGTGGTAAAACCCATTGATCATTCAGCCCATCTTGGATCAAGTGTAAGTAAAACAAATAAAATATTTAAAAATAATGTATCTCCTTAAATAACAGAATTGGAAATGAGCTATTGAATTAACAAACTCTTTAAAGAAATATTCAAGGCTGTTCCTGGGGCCATTTTTAGAATCTTCAAAAAAGAATTTTAGGTGGGAACCAGCAGTTAGCGTAATGGCTATGTTGCCTGACTCCCACATAGTTGACCGCGGTTCACGTCCCGGACCCGGTGGCTTAAAACTCACGCCGGGCGCATGCGCGTGCGTGCCCAAGATCCCGAGAGGAGAATGGAGGAGAAGGGATTGCGGCGTGACCATTCCCCCTGGGGGGTGATTTCTCGCTTTCTGTCTCTATGTCTCTTTCTGTCTCTATGTCTCTCTCTGTCTGGCGAGCGTACGCGCCCTATAGTGAAAATCTCTCCCCCCCCAAAAAAAAAGAATTTTAGGTTATCGATGTAATACAATTAGGGAAAATATAGCTATTTAGAATTTTGGGGTAACTTTAACACTATAAATATAAATAGTTTAACTTTTTTATGTTAAAGGAATTCGAAGCCACTTTTTATTTTTTATTAAATGTTTTTGTATTTTTATTACTGTTTTCTTCTGGCATTGGGTTTTTATTACAGTAGACTTAACATCTTGTGACAGATTAGATTGAAAATCAGCAGTTAAGGCAAGAATGTAGTTTAAGCAAAATTATCCTTCAAAATAAACATTGCACATTGTTTTGGGTATTCTATCATGTTTCTCACTAAGTTTAACCAAGTTAGTTTTTTCTGCAATATTGGAACAGAAAGAGTAGCTAGAATGGATTTTGCTTTTGTAGTTTTGTGCTTAACCTCTAAGTAGAATTATTTAAGGCAAATGTACATACAGTGTGACTGTGGTAATTTGTAACATTGACAAAATGCTTTATAGACATAAAAATTATGAAATATAAAATATGTACAGAAAAGTCTACAAGACATTTAAAGATTTAAAGAAAAATTTTAAAGTGAATACCTATGAAAGCACCAAGCAGGTTGGAAAATTTAAAATACCTGTCTCCTAAAATCTCCCTATGAGCCCCTTTCTGAGAAGGTCCTTCTTTCCCGCGTAGAAATAATTGTTATACATAGATGTTCCTTTGGTAGAAGTAATTTTATAAGGAATTAGAAGATACTTCTGTCTTCCTTTTACAAAGGAAGAATGTGAGACTAAGTTTATTTTTCTGTGTTTGTATTCAGGTTAGTAACTGATAGAAGAGTCCTTGGTTCAGTGCTTTTCCAGTGTTCCTATTGTGACTTAGATTTTCTGGGATAATGCTGGTTTCACGCATTTTATGTGTCAGGCATAGATTTGTTATACATTATAATTTATTTCATACTTTTACTCTATTATTTTCACTAAAGACGATTAAATATGTTTACTCTCATTTAAACTTTTACATCTTTATAAAAGTTCTTCAAAAAAATTCTGAAGTTTAAAAAAAGCCTTTGTTAGACACTATAATTCATAATTATAAAGATATTGCCATGTAATAGGTCTTATATATGTACCAATGTCCAATCATACTAAACATATACAAATACACTGAGGCCATTATTCCATGAGAGGTATTGAGAACAATTATCCAGTGACCACAAGATCCTGAGCATCTTTTCCAAACCTATTGGGTTCTCTTCTTCACGTCACTTTAAAAGTTAATTTATGTTAATAGATGTGAGAATGCAGCATGAATTTAAATCTTTTGTGGCAGTATTCAAAATAAAACATCTCTATGAGACGAGAGGTCGGGGGGGGGGGTGTAAACCATTCTGTAAGTGATCCAAAATGAGTATCCTAGTGAAAGAGTAAAAAAATAAATCTGCTGTTTATTTTCATGTTAGGTTTCTGTGATAAAATTTGGGCATTATTTAAAAAATATATAAGGTAGCAGTTTGGTATGATGCCTTTGAGAATAATTTTGAAAATAATATTTTTAGGTAAAAAAAAAATTCCTTTTCAGTCACTTAGTTACTATTAAGTGGTCAGGAAAGAAAGGAAGGCTATAGAAAGTGGAGAGAGTCCTGCGATTATTCAAGTCTCTGAGAGGCTAGACCCAGCTAGGCTCTGCTTCCAGGGCGAGCATTTTAGGAGTACTTTTAGCAAACCTCTAGAGAGAATGGGAGAAGGCAGAGATGAGGCCAACTGGGGCCTGGGGCTCCGCAATAGGGCCATAGTAAATGAAAGTTCTTCCTGGGACCAGTCGCTGGACTCCCATGTAGTCCACCGCGGTTCGTGTCTCAGACCTGGTGGCTTAAAACTCACGCTGGGCACGTGTGCGTGCATGCCCAAGATCCCGAGAGGAGAATGGAAAAGAAGGGATTGTGGTATGGTCATCCCCCCTGGGGGGTGATTTCTCGCTTTCTGTCTCTCTGTCTCTATCTGGCGAGCGCGTGCACCCTGTAGCAAAAACCTCTAAAAAGAAAGTTCTTCCTAATCCCTTAGTTGCTGCTGTCATGTTTTATTTACTCTTCCTCACTTTTCCTGTTTCTTATGTCAGAACTTCATCCTTAGTCTTTTTTTTCCCTCTTCTTTTCTGTTATTTTCTCTTTTTAGTCTTGAAATGGCCATAATATAGAGCTAAATATTATACTTCTGAGTCATAATTTTAAAAAGGATGAATTGAACTTTTCATATTTTCTTAAGTCCTTTCTTTCTAATGTGCATTGTTTATGGCTTATCCTATTACAAGCATTCTGCCGACCCCCTATTCCCTTCCCTCCATCATTTGTGACCCTTGGTACTGACTCACTGGCCTCCACTTGACAGAGGCCATCAATTAGGAAAGTCATCAATTAGGATTATATTTACTTACACATCTATTGTCATTGAAAGGATTTGGTTTTAAATGGGGCCACACACCTTATTACTTATCAGAAATTATCTTTTGGACACTAACACATGTCTATTCTCAGTTAATATCTTGTTTTTAATGAGGGCACATACACATGTAGGAGAGCCCAGGGTAGAAGGGAGGAAGGGAAGGAGGTTGTTGATTGCCTTTGTCTTTTTTCTAGAGAGATTTTTGCAATAGGGCACTTGGTGTTCATTGGAGAGACAGAGAGACAAAGAAACAAAGCAAGAAATCACCCTCGGGAATGGCCATGCCGCAACCTCTTCTCCTTTCTTCTCTCAAGATTTTTGGGCACTAATGCACACGCGACTGATATGAGTTTCAAGCTGTTGGGTCTGGGACTGAAACCATGGTTGGTCATGTGGGAATCCAGCAACGGAACCATTATGCCATCTGCTGGTCTCAGTTGCTTGTGTTTTTGTTTTGATTTTTAAAGATTTATTTAACTTTATTCATTTTTTAAAAGAATGATTTTATTGAATTTTCTTTCTTTATTTTAACTTGAACAGAGAGGGACAGAATGAGAGAGAGTGACTGAAAGTAAGAAAGCAAGCTGCCAGGTCCAGGACTCAAACTGCAGTCTGCCATGTGGGGAATCCAGTTCCCTTAACCATCATGCCACCTGCTGGCCCCACCCCACCACCCCACCAGTTGCCTGTGTTTTACTTGCATTCAGTTGGCCCACAATACTGTTGTTGGTTTGGTCTTTTTTTTTTTTTCCTTTATTGCAAAAAAGAAGTCCAACCTCCTTGACTTGGCACGGCACATAAGTCGTGTATTTCTGTCTCAGCAGCCTTTCAGGTTTTGTCTCCACCACCCCCTCTCCTTACACCAGCTCCACCGGACTCACCTTTCCACGCACCATTTTAACCAGTTTTACACTGTCTGCTTTGCAGTTCCTGTGTTTTCTTAGCATTTTGTGCTGTTACCTTTTGTACATATCCATTGTTGATATATATATATATATGTCTCTCTTCCCATTTAGACCTACCAGGGATAGGTGCTATCCATAGCTTTTTGTTCCTTAAATTCTCAGAGAGAGCTTAATTCCTGTCTCCTAGCCATTGGATTGGATTTACTTAAACTGTAATGGGGATGTTAGCTATATGAACACTGCAGCCTTTTAATTTGTGACTCTTCAGTATGTTGATTTAAAGAATTGATTTTAATTGTTTTAGAAACCACTCAAGAAGGTTATTATTGAAGAAACTGGTAATTTGATACAGACTATTGATGTACCAGATAGCACTACTGCTGCTGCTCCAGAGAGTAACCCTATTAATCTAGCAAATGTAATAACAGCCACAAGCACCACAAGTAAGAAGAATTCAAGCCAAGATGACCCTTTGCGCACAAGTGATACTCCAAGAGCAAAAGTATCAAAAATAGAAGAAATCAGTGATACTTCAGCTCTGCCGTGAGTAGAAATATTGTTATTTGATAATCACCTAGAGTGGTAATAATTTAGCTAGAAAAGTGATATTCCTGGGAAGACTTCTGATTTGTACTCATCACCCTGATTTTTTGACCTGCCTAATTTCAAGTTTTAATTTTTCTTTTTTATTTGTATTTATTGTAAGATAGATTTTATTTAAGGACTCATTGATATTTATTTATCATGGGGAATTTACAGATGAAAGAAAGTACCTTGAACAAATTGATTCTGTTGATTTTCGTTTCTAGAACCTCAGTATATATGTTTCATTAGTTAATTCAGCAAAAAGTGTACATTTTTTATTTTTTAAAAGGAAGCTTAATAAAAATGTAGAATTTAGGCATTACCATTATCATCCATTTTAGACTATTGTGGGCTCTTCAAATTTTGTCTGGAATTTTAAATAAAATAGTTCACACGAGGCCAGGTGGTGGTGCAGCAGCGGTGCAATTGGACTCACATGAGAAGGGTTCTGGGTTCACATCTGGGTGAGCATGCGTATGCCTTTGATCTGGGCTGGCTGATTCTGGAGGTGGACCCCAGTCTATAGACCCGTTTGGGGGTGCTTGTCTATGTCTGTCTGTCTCAGGAAACAAAATAGTGAATAAGTTTTTAAAAATTTTATTAAAAAAAGTTCAGATATGTTTCCTTAATGATGAGAACCTCCAAGATACAGACTGATTACGTTGTTTATAGGTATTTAGATTTTACCCTTGTAGTCTAACATTGCCACTCAACAAACTTTTTAAAATTGCTTGATGTTTTGTAAATTTTATTTATTTTTTCTATGAGAGAGAGAACAGAGAGACAGGCATCCGGACAGAGGCTATGATCTACTTTTAGTTTCAGCCACCCTGAATCATGGCTGCATACATGTGCGTGTCTGGCTTAGTCAGGCTCCAGGATGTGAACTCTGGACCTTTCCCATGTAGATCCAGTTGTGTTACCACTGTGCTACCACCTGGTCTTCTTCTTCATTTTTTTTTTTTAACTTTTGTTGTAGTAGAACCAGCAGATGGCATAGTGGTTATGTCACTGGACTCCCACATAGGTGACCATGGTTCAAGTCCTGGACCCAGTGGCTTGTAACTCACACCAGGCGCATATGTGTGTCTGCCCAAAATCCTGAGAGGAGAATGGAGGGGAAGGGATTGCAGCATGGTCACCCTCCCTTGGGAGGTGATTTCTCACATTCTGTCTCTCTGTCTTTCTGGTGAGCACATGTGCCCTATGGCAAAAACCTCTCTTCAAAAAAAGAAGAAACTTTAGTTATAGTTTAATGATGGTATGGATTATGGAAAAGCATTAAATAGGCAGTTTTTAAAAAAATAATTATTTTATTTAACTTTATTTATTATTATTTTTTTGAATTTGACCAGAAAGAAACAGACAGACAGAGAGAGAGAGGCAACAGATCTGGGACTCAAACCATGGTTGGCCATGTTGGAGTCCAGCGCCTCCAACCACCATGCCACCTGCTGGTCCCAGGCAGTCTTTTTTTAAAAAAAGGAAGAAGCATTTTTTTTCTTGGAGTATTTTGAAGCTATGATAATTCTGGTTTCTGAACAGTTGAGTTATGAGTATATGAGGCACTGTAATGTAATATATAGAGATGTTGTGTTTAAAAGATGGCTAAGCTAGTTGCCCAGTGGATGAGAACAGTCATTATATAGCCAGGAAGTGAAAATTTGCAGGGGCAAAATCTGTTTTACCAAAACCGTACATATATTAGCAGAACATTGAATAGGCAAGTATAACTTAATGATGAGACTGTGTTCTGAGAAATGTGTTGTTAGGCAGTTTTGTTGCTGTGTGAACAGCCTAGTATGTACTTACACAAACCTACTTGGTATAGCGTACTATACGCCTAAGCTTTATGGTATATTACGTCATCACATTGCAGTATGTGGTCTGTTGCCCAGAATGTTGTCAAGCCATGCAGGACTGTACTTTAAAATATGAATAGATAATACAGTGTTATTAAAGTCAGAGATTTTAAAATGTCATTGATGTTTCATTTATTGAGCTTTGACTGTTTGTGGTTCTTTTCTGTTTGATGCCTCTGTAATATTTCAGACCTCAAGTCAGTTTGAAACCAGCCGTGTGTCAGTCTTTGAGGGAGAAGATTTCTATAGAGGTAGAACAGACACCTGCCCAGTTTGTCACAACTCTTCCTCCAATTCCTGCAAACTCATTTCAGCTTGAATCCGATCTCCGACAACTGAAAGGTTCTCCAGATATGTTGTATCAGTATTTAAAGGTAAGAGAAAGGAAGCTAGTGGTTTTGTTGTGAGGTCAAAGAACTCTTTTGTCACTATGGAATGATAGTGCTGTATTTGCTGTTTGTGCATGATTGTAAAAATGCTTTTATCCCTCCTGGATAGATACATTAGCCTGGGTAGACCAATTAAAAATATTTGCAACCAGGAAACTTTGATGTTTTCTTTGAAATAGGTTGTGTGTCAAATTCTAAAATTAACTTAATCTAATTTTATATGCAAGAGGACTTCAAAAAGTTTATGGGAAAAATAGAGTCAAAGTGCAAGTTTACTTTGAGTGCAAAATTTTTGAAACTTACATAGTTTTTTTTTTTTTTTTGAGAGATTTTCATTGTAGGGCGCGTGTGCTCGCCAGACAGACAGAGAGAGACATAGAGACAGAAAGCGAGAAATCACCCCCCAGGGGGGATGGTCACGCCGCAATCCCTTCTCCTCCATTCTCCTCTCGGGATCTTGGGCATGCACGCACACGCGCCCAGCGTGAGTTTTTAAGCCACCGGGTCCGGGACACGAACCGCGGTCGACTACGTGGGAGTCCAGCGACATAGCCATTACGCTAACTGCTGGTTCCCCATAGTTTTTTATAATATATTTTCCATGGATTTTTTTTTTTGGAAGAGCCCTTGTCTCATAGCTTAAACTTAATCTTTCATCCATCAAGTTGGGGGAAAAAAGCTAAGGACATTAAGTACCTTCTTAAGGGCCCTAGTACTTGCAATATTTAGGCAATCATTCTGAAAATGAGCTTTTATTTGACCCAAGAAAAAGGATCATGTGAAATTTAATCAATAATGGATTAGTCTAGACTTTTTCAAATGTAATGGCAGAAATCTTTTTTTCTAATTTATTTTTTATTTTTTTGGAGAGATTTTCGCTGTAGGGCGTGTGCGCTCGCCAGACAGACACAGAGAGAGACATAGTGACAGAAAGTGAGAAATCACCCCCCAGGGGGATGGTCACACTGCAATCCCTTCTCCTCCATTCTCCTCTCAGGATCTTGGGCACGTACGCACACATGCCCAGCGTGAGTTTTAAACCACCAGGTCCGGGACGCGAACCGCGGTCAACTACGTGGGAGTCCAGTGACATAGCCATTATGCCACCTGCTGGTTCCCTGAAATCTTTATAATTATGTAATGTACAACTACTTCCAAATATATTATCTCATATAATTCTACTTTTTAAAATTTTCTGTTTATTGCTCTCCTCTCAAGTTTCCCATTTGTCTTAGATTCTTGTGTGTATATCTCTTTTGCTTATGAGATTTTTCTCTGACTAGGTAAACTAACTTTAATTATTCTGTCTAACTTATTCTGTCATTGCATTTTAATCTGACCCCATTATTTTTCATTAATACTAATGCATAGTAGTCATTCTTTACTATTTTTACCTAAGTAATTATTATAACAATAATTTGTGATATGTGAATATTGTCATAATTTAATTGTCTGACTCTTATATTCTTTTCAAAGCAAATTGAACCATCCTTATATCCTAAGTTGACAAATCTAGATCCAGATGTATTCAATCAAATAATTAAAATTCTGCATGACTTTTACATTGAGTAAGTTGAATTTTTTAATTTAGACTCTATTATTGTACACTGTATCATTTCCAATGATTTAGAAATTTATTCTCTTTGATATTGTACTAATACTTTAGAAGAATGAGCCTTCTGGTAAATTTTTAAAAGTTATTTATTATTTTTTTTATTATGATGAATATATTTTTAATTTGACCAGAGAGAGAGAGAGAGAAAGAGAGAGAAAGCAAGCCACCATGTCTAGGACTTGAACCATAGTCAGCCACATGGAAGTCCAGCACCTTAACCACTATACCACTGCCAGCCCCAACCTTCTGAAAAAGTGTTACAGAAGTTGTAAAGAAGTGACCAGTATAAACTGAAAAGGGAAAATTTTAAATGAGAAGAAAGAGGGTTTCTTGGGACCAGCTGATGGTATAATGACTAAGTTGCTGGATTCTCATGTAATTGACTGCGGTTCAAGCCCTGGACCTGGAGGCTTAAAACTTATGCTGGGCACATGTGGGTGCCCAAAATCCTGAGAGGAGAATGGAGGAGAAGGGATTATGGCATGGCCATCCCCCCGTGGGTAGTGATTTCTCACTGTCTCTGTCTCTATGGGAAGTACACGTGCCTTACAGCAAAAAAAAAATTCAAAAAAAAAAGGGTTTCTTAATTTTTTTGTAGAGAAAAGTAGGGTGTGGAAGTAACCAGTGTTATAACCAAATAACAGCTTCTATGCTAAGCTTTCAATTAAGATTATTATAATTTCCTTTTTTTCTTTTCCTTTTTTTGGAGAGGTTTTTTCTTATTGGGCGCATGTGCTTGCCAGAAAGACAGAGAGAGACAGAGAGATAGAAAGCGAGAAATCACCCCCTAGGGGGGATGGTCACGCTGCAATCCCTTCACCTCCACTTTCCTCTCTCGGGATCTTGGGCATTCATGCACACACACCTGGCATGAGTTTAAGCCACCGGGTCCAGGACTCAAACCGTGGTTGACTACGTGGGAGTTACGCTAACTGCTGGTCCCAAGATTATTATAATTTCTTTAATTAACTTGGTAAATCTCTTTATTTGGGGACCTGAAATAGTATCCAGGGAGAGAAAAGGAAATGACCTTATTTACATATAGTTAGAAATGTTGCATTAGTAAATAGATTTAAATGAGCTGTTTTTAACTGATTGTTTTTACATTTGAATTATTTTAGGAGAGAAAAGCCATCACTCATCTTTGAAATTTTACAAAGACTTTCTGAACTAAAAAGGTTTGATATGGCAGTGATGTTTATGTCAGAACCCGAGAAAAAGCGTAAGTTCTAAGAAAAAGCTTTTGTGTATTCACTTCTTAATAGGTTCTTTATTTATTAACAAATGATAAACATTTGAATATTTACTATGTATAGGGTACATGCAATTAAATATAAATGAATTTGAACTAAAGTAAGTTTAATTGAATTACAGTTAAATTGAGTACAGATAAGTTATATTTGTTAATTTTGACAAGATGATGAGGTATATGTACTATTATCTTTCTACTTTTATTAAGAAAACTGAGGCATAGCGAAGTTAAGGAACTTGACCAAGGTCATACAGTTAGGAAGCCAGATGCAGGATTTGTCATTTTTTTAAAGAGGTTTTTGCCTTGGGGCACATGAGCTTGCCAGAGAGAGATAGTGCAAGGGAAAGTGAGAAATCACCCCCCAGGGGAGGATGGCCATGCCACAATCCTTTTTTATTCTCCTCCTGGGATTTTGGGCATGCATGCACATGTGCCTGATGTGGGTTTCAAGCTACCGAGTCTGGGACTCAAACCCAGGTCTGTAATTTGGACCCTTCTATATAAAATGTAGTAAATGGTATATCGTTGAGTTCCTGCCACCATGGAGCACGTAGAGGGTCCCTGTCACATCAGGATGTAACCGGAGAGGTGATTTCCTTCAGTTTGACTTTAGCTGAATTCTCCAAGACGTGTGTCGGAGTCAGGTGAAGGAAATGTGGGGAAATGACATGGGCAGAGGTTGTGGGGTACGGAGAGCACACTGAGTTCAGAGCATTGAAATGCAGTGCGGCTGCGTTACAGAGTTGGACAGCAAGCAAAGGCAGCCTGAAGCTGAAGAGCCTGGAGAATGATATCCCTTATTTATGTTCACATCTTAGTCTTTGGCATAAAGACTCAGTTTTGGGAAATGCTAATTAAAGTCAAGTCAAACTTGGCAGAAACTTTAATTACTCACAGTTTGGGGCTATGCTTCAGTTTCACGAAAAAAGAGAAAAATTATTTGAATACAGAGTGCCAGTTTTTTTAGCTTTAAAAATTACCGAAAACTCAGTGTACCCTGTTCAGATGTGTCCTGTACTAAACATCCTTGAGGCTCCTTATTTCTTCCATATGTTTCCAGTAGTGATACTGAAAAATTCCAAATCAATAAGAATGATACTTTTTACATTGTATTTAGGCAAAAGGGCATGTAATTTAGAGATTTCTTCTTTTTTGGGGGGGAGGTTTTTGCTATAGGTTGCGTGCGCTTGCCAGAAAGACAGAGAGAGACAGAAAGCAAGAAATCACCCCCTGGGGACATGGCAACCCTGCAGCCCCTTCTCCTCCATTCTCCTCTCGGGATCTTGGGCATGCACACATACATGCCTGGCGTGAGTTTAAGCCACTGGGTCCAGGACTCGAACTGTGGTCAACTACATGGGAGTCCAGCAACATAGCCATTAAACATCTGCTGGTCCCTAGAGATTTATTTTTTTAATAATGAGGATTTAACCTAAAAGTTTCTGCCTTTTTGTTAACCAAAATATTCCCTGAAATCCCTGAAAAATATTCCTGTTTCTTAATACTGTTCTTACTTCATGCATGTGCCCATTATGTACCTTCTACCTTCTTCACTAATACTATTCTCATTTCTCTTTTTTTTTCTTTTTTTTTTTTGGAGAGGTTTTTGCTATAGGGCGTGTGTCAGAGAGAGAGAGAGAGACAGAGAGACAGAAAGTGAGAAATCACCCCCCAGGGGGGATGGTCACGCCGCAATCCCTTCTCCTCCATTCTCCTCTCGGGATCTTGGGCACGCACGCACATGCGCTCGGCGTGAGTTCGAAGCCACCGGGTCCAGGATGCGAATCGCAGTCAACTACGTGGGAGTCCAGCGACATAGCCATTACGCCAACTGCTGGTTCCCTTGCTTTATATTTTAATATAGCAAACTGCCAGCCTTATTTTGGCCTCAGAGATTTTACATTTGGCCATTCCCTCAGCCTGTATCTTTCCACATTGCTTCATCTTGCGTGCTTCCTCACTTTATTCAGTTTTTAACCTTTTACTACCTCAAAGACCCTTTCTTACCAACATTACTTAACTGCCACCTTATACACCGCCATCAACCTATGTTTTTCTTTCCCACTTTATTTTTCTTCATAATACCTAACTAGCTGGTGGTGTTTTGTGTGTGTATTTATCATGCGTGTGTTTGTGTGTTTTTTTCTTTTTTTTTTTTTAAGCTTTGCTAGGGGTGCGTGTGCTCACTGGAGAGAGGGAATGAAAAAGCAGCCCCAAAGGAATGTCTATGCCACAGTTCCTTCTCTGTTCTCCTCTTTATATTTTGGGTATGCATGCACATGTGCCCAGCATGGTTTTTCAAACCACCCAGTCAAGAAATAGAACCATGCAGTGAGCTACATGGGATCCAGCTGCCTTAACCACCATGCCACTGGCTGGCCCAACTTTAATATTTTTTCCTAATCAAATGAAAGCTCCATGAGAGCAGGAGCTTTGTCTGCCATGTTACCTAGGCCTCAGTGCTAGTGCATAATAAATCCTCAGTATGAGTGGGTTGAAGAAGTGAAATTTTTGTCACTATAATACAGTAGGTTTCAGATGTGCTCAGAAAATGTGAGTTGGGGGAACCAGCAGTTAGTGTAATGGCTTTGTCGCTGGATTCCCACGTAAAAGAAAAGAAAAGAAAATGTGAGTTGGCTTTTCTGGTTGGCTGCCCACAGTTCCGTCTTGGTTGGTCACCACTGTCTGCTAAGTTAAATATGGGAAGCACTTAGAATGGTTCTGGCATGTAATTAAGGATTCAGCAAATATTAGCTGTTTTGATCTTTTATTATTGCTATTATTTTTAATAACTGTTAGCTAACTCTGTGGGTTTTTTCAAGTTTATTTCTTCCATGAGCAAGAGGGTGAGCGAGAGAGTAAGCACATTTCCCCAACAGGGTCTTGGTGCCAGGATCCATCCCCAGCCCTTAACTAGCTCTGAATCAAGGGCAAGCATGTGTGCAGCATACTCAGGGAAGTCTGTGGACTTGAACAAGTAACCTTCCCATGTAAGATTTCCTCATAATTTTATCATTGTGCCATCATCTGGCCCAACTTAATTTTCTAGTTTTAATGTTGATAAGCATAAACTGTAATGATGTTTTTCAAAATATTGAGTATGGACCACTCAGTGGTAAGAAAGATGATTTTATGTGATTCATATACAAATCATTTTTAACTTTTAGTACTTATATATTTTATTAAGGAATATAAACATATATAACTAGCCCATCAAATGTGACTTTATGTATAATAGATGTTAATGCTAAATTTCAACTTATAATAATGATAATAAAGTTTTCTTTTTCATTTATTTATTTCCAGAGGGTACATGAGCTCTTCAGAGAAAGTGACAGAGACAGGGAGGAGAAAGCAGCCTGCAGTGGAGCTTGGTCACACTGTAGTCCCTTCTCCATTTTTCCATCTCGTGAAAACTTGAGCACACACGTACACGCCCAGTGTGTCCCTCAAACTGCCAGGACTGAGACTTGAACTGTGCAGTCAGCTTCCCAATCACCTCGCCACTGGGCCAGCCTTTATTTATTTATTTTATTGCTAGAGGACCTATGTACTCACTAGAGACAGACAGACAGAAAGCATCTCCCCAGTGGGAAATGGTCATGGTGCAGTACTTTTCCCTCCATTTCTCCTTCCTATCAGGGCTTTGGGTGTGCACACACATATCCCTGGCATTCTCTTTAAGCAGCTGATGCCAGGATTCAAAACGCCACTGGCCATGTGTGATCTGGCTCTCTACGCATAGTGCTTAACTGCTGTGCTATAGCGCTAGCAATTTCTCATTAAAACAAAATGACTTAAATTCAATGTTAAATAAAGTACATTTGTTACACAGATAGGGTAAAAATAATTTAAGGTTGGGCCAGCAGGTGGCATGATGGGGAAGGAGCTGGATTCCCACATGGCTAGCCATGGTTCCAGTCCTGAACCTGGCAGTTTGAAAAACAGGCTGGGTGCATGTGCATCTTGCCCAAAATCCAGAGAGAAGAAAGGAGGAGAAGGCACAGCCATTTGCCCCTTGGGGGGCTGATTTCTCACTTTCCTTCTGTCTGTCTCTCTAGTGAGGGGGTGTGCCCCATGGCAAAAACCTAAAAAACAAAAATTAAGATAGTACAGAATGGGTTAATCTATGAGATTAATGTTATTGAGGATGTAGGGGAAATTTTATACTGCCAGGGCAAAATACTGTGGTCAGAAACATCGTTGGATGGCTGTGTAATTTTGTATTCTTGGCTTGGCTTTTTAAACACCTGAACTAGAATTTATAATAATCTTAATTATTGAGATATCAGATTGCTTCCTCTAATTTATATTTTGCTTAGTTTTTTGAAAATGAGATTAAATGAAGAATTTCTTTTCTTTTTCAGTTGTACATGCATTATTCAGTCACATAGAAAAATCAGGATTGAAGGATAATTCTGTTGAACAGCTCAAGAGAAGATATGGTGGTTGATTTCCATTTTTCCTAAAATTATTATTTTTAACTTACATATGTGAATTTTTTTACTGAAAATGAATGTTTTGTTTTCCTTTTTAAGAAAATAAAATCATACAACAAAGGACTATCTTTGGACATAAGCTAATTAACTATAAAGTGAATTGTGATTTAACTAGGGACAAATATATTGAACTATTTATAAGTATGTTTCTGCAAATAAAAATATAAGCAATGAGATTTTGGAAGGATTCATATTTTATAACTCATTTTAAATGTTAAATTTAGATACATTCTTCATTGTCCCACAAATGAAACATATTGGGCCATCTGAAAAGCCATGATGCATTTTTGCATTAAAAAACATGAAAAATTTGTCATGATTTTTTAGCAACCCAGTATTTTCGTGATTTTTATAACCATTCTATAGTGAGAGTAGTGGAAATAACATGAAAACAGATGATGCACTCATTCCACTAATCACATTCTAGAACAGAGTTTGCAGAATCACTTAGAATACTTCTGGAACTTTGTCCCAAAGAATCAGTGCCATAGTAGAAGGTAGAGTTTTTTGTTTTTGTTTTTTTTTTAATCATAACATGCTTTGCGCTGTGTTTTTCTTGACAATTTGATTCAGTGTATCTTATTTAAACCTTGCAACTGTCCAGTGAGATAGAGCTGTTACTTGGTAGGCAAACAAAGACCTGTAGAGGTTAAATTATTTACTTGAGGTTATGTGAACAGTGACAGAACTTCTGTTCTGGAAACCTCTGTCAAGTCCCTTCTCATAGGCTTGACTGAATCGACTTTTAGCACTACAGGCTGTTAAGTGTGGATTTAGTGGTGCTATGGCCTAAATGTTTGTGGTCCATTCAAAATCCGTATGTTGAAACCCTAATCACAACATAATAGTATATGGAAATAGGACCTTTGGTAGGTAATTAGGTCATGGGGGGTGGAACCCTCATGTTGAGATTAGAAGAGATTGGAGAAAGCTTTTTCTCTTTTCTGTTTTTTCATTCACCATGTGAGGATATATACAAAAGACACACCATCTGCAAACCAGAGTCATCGCCAGACACTGGATTTGCCATCCTCCTGATCTCGGACATCACAGCGTCCAGAACTATGAGAAATGAAGGTCTGTTATAAGCTACTCAGTCTGTGGAATTTTTTATGGCAGTGTGAACTGACTGAAAGAAGTGGGAACTAGAATTAGTTTGCATGTAAGTGGGGCTATAAATGCAGTTTGTGGGACAGTGTTTGGGTGCAGTGTTAGTGTGCTGATCAAGAGAAGCTGGCTCTCACGTGGCCACCACAGTTCAAATCCTTGGCTCAGCCAGCCTGGAACATGCTAGGCATGTGCCTGAGTGCCTGACATCTGATGGACTGGAGAAGAGGGATCACGGCGTAACTAGACACAAGGGTGCTCCTCTCTCCCTCTCTCACCTGTGTGCACACATGCTTTTATTATGAATAAAGAAGGGAAATAACATGCCATGTGTTTTAAAGAGGTGACTTCCAAAGCACAGTTTTTATCATATACTGTGAAGTTGATGAATATTTACTAAATAAATGAATGATAAATGAATTCTAACACTATAGAATGACAATGGAGTGTCCAGATAAAGAGCCTTTTAAGTTTGGCTCAAAGCATCTTCATGATGATGGAAAGGTCTTTCATCATCAGTGGGGATTATTTGAATTCTCTTTTATAGACTTGTGTTGAGTATTACTCCCCCCAAATATTTTTGAATACCAGATGAGTATGAGAAGGAATAGGTTATAATTTTCTTATTTCTCATGTAGAACTCCCTCCTGGTTCATAATAGTTTTAACAATTAGCTACTGTTCATATGCACTGCTGTATACTCGGCTTCATATGGGGGCTTTGCATATATTATCTCACTTAATCCTAGAGACAGATGCAGAGGGATAGGTTGTCCTGCTAGCTGGGGGTCAAGCAGAAGGTAGTCTGATTTACATATCATGATTTTCTCTACAGTGGTTGCTGAACAACCCTCCCCATAACAAAGGCACAGCCACTGGGGAAGGCAGGCTGGCAGCTGCCATTTTCTTGGTATTACTGTCTTTCACCGAATCTTCAGGAAATAGCATGTACATGGCAGAAGGCACTCTGATAGGAATAAAAATGAAAGTGAATTTTGATTTCTTAGCAAGATACTGCTTTCTACCCATATAAGTCCTGTTCCAGTGCATACAGCAAAGATGAAGGTCTACTCTTTGGTTGTATTATCCAAGATGGAAGCCTGGCTGGGAGGAGGATTTGGTGAAAGGAGGGAGTGTGGCCTACTCTGTTATGGCAAGTTCATTGCAGTCACTGTGATTGGCGAGTCAGCACGCAGGATGGGATGTCTGTGTTTAATTGAGCCCTGTTAGGAGTCATTGGGTTCATTCCGTCCTGGCCATAATAGCTGGGCGGTCCTATGCATGGTCATCTTGGGAGGCTGCAGGGTCATGGTGGAGTGCCTGAATGGGGCATGCCTAAGTCCTGGCCAGGGCAGGGCTCCATCTTCTTATGCCAAGTGTGGAGAGCAGCCAATCTGAAAACATGTGATTAAAACATGTGGCCTGAAGACACATGCAGATATGCGCTTCCCTAAGCTACTCTAGCAGGGCTATTGTGAAGCCTCTACATACAAAAGCAATACCTGCCTGTTGTCAATGGCTGTCTTCCTGCTCTTGTTGGAACTCAATACCTCGATACTGCCCAGAGGCTAAAGAAAGTCACAATCCTTTATCTGATTATTCCCCCAAAAGGATCAGAGAAATTGTATGGCGCCAGTCATTTTCACATTTTCAGTCGATTTACATCCAAAAATAACTGGCTTTGCATCCCAATTTCACCTCCCTTATTCTCTTTGCATTCCACTTCCTTCTTCACCATTCTTTTACATCCCATTTTTCCCTTTCCCCATTCTCTGCCCTTTAAAAGAATAAACCTGAGGCTGGTTATGGTCGCAATTTCTCCATCAGAGAAGCTGTGCCCACCCGATCCTCGCTCTTCTATACCTGTGTGTCTGTGTTTTGTTATTGCGTCTATTTCTAATCCGCAGCCTCCCCACTCAGACACGTGTTTGTGCTGAGCTGGCCTCGGCACCAAGGAGAGCTCGTGGTCTGGTGTGGTGGAGGGTCTTTCAAGGACCCTGGGGTGTGTGTGAGAAACATTCTTCCTCCCTTCAGTGCGTTAGTGCATGGGACCTGGATTTAAATGAAATAAAATAGATTCTGAAGGGGAACAGATTTCACAAAAACAGAAAGGAATGTGCAGAAAGGACTGTCTTGTCTTGGTACAGAGGGGTGGAGTGGGTGTGGTGTATGTGCACACGGACCCCCGTTTCTCCTCCACTTCCCACGCCTCTTAGTTTCTGACAGTGAATTGTTCTGATATTAATTTTACAGGTTCTATTTAAGTAATAAGATATGGTGATTTTGGTATTTTTTTTAATCACTGGGATCGAGTATGCATAATATCAAAGCAAAACTACAACTAAGGCAGATGCTCAGTTACAGTGAAGTAGTATATTTGCAGTGGCAAAAGCCAACACAAGGCCAAGAGGTATCATAGTATTGTGATCATTGGTCTGATTTCCCAAAGATTTGTATCACTTTAAATCTTTACTTTTGTACCAAGTCCTTCCTGCTAAACAGCCTTGAATTCTTCCTGATTAGTTACTGCTCTGTGGGCAGGTATTATCTTACTAGGATGGTCAGAGGACCAGAGGAAAAGATTAATTTTTCAGTTCTGCCGAGCAATGAGTAGAGATGACAGACGTCAGTTTTTCTAGCTAAAATCGCTGTTGATCTGATTTTAATCACAGGAGCCTATAATTCGACACCTGAGGCAGTTTAGAGATAACATCCCTGTCTCTGGAGTCTGGCAGTGGTGGAAATTCTGCCTGGTTAGACTTGATCACATCCTCAGATCTGGGCCTGGATTATACAGCTATCCCCAAATACTGGAGGGAACCTTGCCAAATACACCTCCCCCGGCTTTGCTGGAATACCTGACGATCCTATGTAGACCTGGAGACAAACATTTTTAACTCAGCCCAGACATTACTGTAATTTGAAAGTGGTAACATAAGCGAATTGGTCCACTAACAGAGATGACTTTATCTGGTTAAACCCACATCACCCTCATGCTTTGGAGAGAAGGGTTCTCTCTCCCTCTCTTTTTTTAAATTTTATGAAGATGTTTGTTTTTGTGATGACAGGTGAGGGGGGGCAGAGGAAGGAGCACACCCTCTTGATGTCTCTGTCCCACCCTCAGCCTATCCAGCTAACTGGCAATCATTGGCATATCTGTGCCCAACAAACTCGGCCCCAGCAAACAGTATGGGACCAGCAAGCACTTAGGCACCACTGCTCATGAACACCCAGCATGCACATGTGTACTCAGCAAGCAGTGCAATGCCCAACAAGCACGTGCAAGCCTGTGTGCCAGCAAGCACAAGAACCCCCAACAAGCATTGCGCCCCGGCATGCACGTGTGACAGATCAGCAAATAGGTTGGCGTTTACAAAAAACCTGCGTGCCCAGCAAGCAGCTGGTGGTAAGCATGGATCTGCGAAACAAGCAAGTGAACGCCCGGCAAGCACGTGAACCCCCAGCAAGCAGTGGGCGTCCAACAAGTATGTTAGCGCCCAACCACCTCTGCCGCCAGCAACGTGCGCCCCCAGCAGCCAGTGCACGCCCAACAAACACGTGAGTGGTGAGCAGGCACCTGGGCCCCTAGCAAGCACGTGACCCCCAGCAAGCAGCCGCCCAACAAGCACGTGAACGCCCAGCAAGTGGTGGGCACGCCCAACAGGCACGTGAGCGCCCAACCACCTATAACGCCAGCAGCCAGTGCATGCCCAACAAGCACGTGAGTGACGAGCATGCACCTGGGCCCCCAGCAAGCACGTGACCCCCAGCAAGCAGCGCCCCAACAAGCACGTGAACGCCCAGCAAGCGGTGGGCACGCCCAACAAACACGTGAGCGCCCAACCACCTGCAACCCCAGCAGCCAGTGCACGCCCAACAAGCAAGTGAGTGGCGAGCATATACCTGGGCCCCCAGAAAGCACGTGGCCCCCAGCAAGCAGCGCGCCCAACAAGCAGCGCGCCCAACAAGCACGTGAACACCCAGCATCCAGTGGCCCCCCAACAAGCACGTGAGCGCCCAATCGCCTGCGCTCCCAGCAACGTGGCCCCCAGCAAGCGTGCGAGAGAAGGGGTCTCAAAGAGCTCAAAGGCCAACCTTGGGAGGCCAAAGCCAAGGCAGGGTTTTGGGTAATCCAAGAGTTAAAATGTGATTTAACTGGAAAAATGAAAAAAAATAAATAAATAAAAGGAAGGTAGACTGCCTGTGTCATTAGCCTCTTACAGGCCCAGAGTTTTTGCTCACAAAAACAGAAAGGAATGTGCAGAAAGGACTGTCTTGTCTTGGTACAGAGGGGTGGAGTGGGTGTGGTGTATGTGCACACGGACCCCCGTTTCTCCTCCACTTCCCACGCCTCTTAGTTTCTGACAGTGAATTGTTCTGATATTAATTTTACAGGTTCTATTTAAGTAATAAGATATGGTGATTTTGGTATTTTTTTTAATCACTGGGATCGAGTATGCATAATATCAAAGCAAAACTACAACTAAGGCAGATGCTCAGTTACAGTGAAGTAGTATATTTGCAGTGGCAAAAGCCAACACAAGGCCAAGAGGTATCATAGTATTGTGATCATTGGTCTGATTTCCCAAAGATTTGTATCACTTTAAATCTTTACTTTTGTACCAAGTCCTTCCTGCTAAACAGCCTTGAATTCTTCCTGATTAGTTACTGCTCTGTGGGCAGGTATTATCTTACTAGGATGGTCAGAGGACCAGAGGAAAAGATTAATTTTTCAGTTCTGCCGAGCAATGAGTAGAGATGACAGACGTCAGTTTTTCTAGCTAAAATCGCTGTTGATCTGATTTTAATCACAGGAGCCTATAATTCGACACCTGAGGCAGTTTAGAGATAACATCCCTGTCTCTGGAGTCTGGCAGTGGTGGAAATTCTGCCTGGTTAGACTTGATCACATCCTCAGATCTGGGCCTGGATTATACAGCTATCCCCAAATACTGGAGGGAACCTTGCCAA